GTACGATTTCATTCGCGTTCGTCAAGGAGGTGTGGTTTTGCGTGCCGAATCCTCGAGACACACATTCTTTCGCACTGATCGAAAAGATCTACGATGAACGTTTGGAGAAAGAAATGGTGCTGGACTACAATGGATCTCCATTGCTCCCGGAATTCGAGAGGTACCGGACGCCGGCCAAGATCATGGAGCTACTCTGTGACATGCCGTCAGGTCCTCACCATACCAGTAAGGAACAAATCATTCGCGACCTTACTACTGTGCTCGTATCCCACAGGGAGAACACCGTGCGCCATCACTACATGGACAAAGCCATCAAGCTCATCATCAAGAATTGGCGACCCGAAAATCTACGAAGAGAAGGAGATGGCAGGAGAATGAGGGTGTGCCCCGCGTGCTACAACATTGTACCGGCATGCTTCTCCCGCTGTACATCGTGCTGGTCGCAATTCATCTCGTGTGGTTATCATCAAGGCACCTCACAACGGGAGACTCCTCCGGAGATCCCAAGTGAAGTCATTGCACAGACAATGGAGGCTGCTCAACTGCTGAGGAACAAGAAGCCATGGAGGTCGCAACTGTGGCAGAACCTGAAGGCATTCCCGAACCTTCCATCATCGCAGACGAAGACGCAGAGCAGGAGCCCGACGAGGAGATGGACACAGATCAAGCGGCAGACTTTGACGACGAGGTACCTGAAGCTGTGGCACTTGAACGTCGTCCTGTCTTGATTGCTGGTCAGTCCTTGAACATCGACCCTGAACTGCAGATCGCCCACACGGCAATGCAACCACCTTACTACCACAACAAGCGAAATGCACGCTGCATCGATGCTAACATGGCCGCCCTCTCCTACATGGCGTACGTGGTTTGCAGGTGCATCTACAAGTCATGGTCAGGTTTTGCAAAGTGGGCAACGGTGCCATTGTTCCAACTCAAGGAAAGTTTTGCCAATGGCCAACGCTATGATGTGCTTGGAAAGTGGGGTGTTTTGGCAGAAGTGAACTCCGACACTGGTGTGAGCAGGGAGGTGACTGATGAAGAAATCCTCCGTTTTGCCAAAGAAAGGGACAATGTCAAGTCGTATGATCCCAACGGGACGTACACCCTCAAGTGCTTCCGAATGCACCAGCTGATCTCAACGTTGATCCGAGGAGCCAACATGATGGGAATTGGCAGGGAAAACTTCAATCCCAGTGCTTATCTGAAGGACGAGAGCGAGGTGAAAGTGATGCACTTCTGTTGCTTGAACGTCCTACGCGAAGTTATTCCCATGGTGACAGGACACTCGCAATTTTCTGTTCTTCGGCCTACGCCAACTGGACCAGTGGACTTTCTGTACATCGACCCAGTCGGGATCCTATTGATGCACACGGATCATTCCACACAGACCATCGGGTTGCTTGTGGATCACAACGTACAGATGCCGTCCCACCTCTTGGACAAGCTGCGCGCCAGTAGGGTCGAACGACAATTGCATCCAAATGCACGTCGTCCTGAAGCACTGCATCACATTTCAGCCGATGAGTATCTTCCGCGCGGGCAGACCTCCATCATGGACACACCTGTCACAGCAGAAGAAACTTCGAGCGCTTCCGCGTCCACTGCTGCACCCAAACCTCGCCCAAAAGGAGGTGGAAGACATGGAGGATGGAATTCCAACACGTACCACGACTACATCGAGGGCAAGAGTAGAAACAAGGGAAGAGCCAAAGGGAAGGGCAGATCTCCATACCCAGAAGAAAATCTCAGGCCCTGGGAACGTGATCCTCCCTCTGATCCCGCGGCTACCCGCCAGTGGTATCGGGACAACGTATGATCGGCTATGCCTTTGTGCACGGACCTCTGCTCATCGCTCATGAATTTCATTGCGAATGCCTCTTTCTTCGGTGACGCCTGATTCGTTTGTCATTTCAGGGGATCGTTACCGACGTAGCCGAGTGTCACACCACACAGTTTCTAATGGGGATGCAAGGCTCTGATTCCACATTTCAAAGTTGCGGCGGACTAATCCATAGTGTTCCTATCGCGCCATCTTCCGGGTGAGCAGCATCGGAGACGCAACTCATGGGGGGTGCGAACGGACTGCGATGCCTAGTCAAGTTCTACGGTGTCACGATAAGAGCTGTGAGCAAGGCCATGTATAGGTCAAGAGAGAAGGCACGCTACGCGTCCTTCGTCTCCAGGTTTATGGCTTGTGGAAGTGCTACGCACGCCGCAATGCCGAACCTTCCTGTATGCTTTCCGCCCACGCAACTTTGGCTCAAGTGTGAGCACATGCTCTAGAAAGCATTGCCCATAGCCAAAAGCTATTCGTCTTCTGTGACCTTCCGAGGAACAGAGCCATCCCGTGCACAGACGATCCATCGCTGGCCGCGAGAGTGCAAAACAAGCGAGCTCTGGATCTGCCTGCAAGGGGAGTGTGGCTTACGTGTGAGAAAGGGAAAGAGAGAGTGGCTGAGTTCGTAGAGGGCAACCACGCCATTATTCAACATAGCTCTGTGGGGTGAGCAACAAGGGCAACATCAAGATCAAATCCCCACGCAGTAGTAGTAGTAGTAGTAGTAGTAGTAGTAGTAGTAGTAGTAGTAGTAGTAGTAGTAGTAGTAGTAGTAGTAGTAGTAGTAGTAGTAGTGGTAGTGGTAGTGGTAGTAGTAGTAGTAGTAGTAGTAGTAGTAGTAGTAGTAGTAGTAGTAGTAGTAGTAGTAGTAGTAGTAGTAGTAGTAGTACTAGTTGCGGTAGCGGTAGCAGGAGCAGGAGCAGTGGTGGTAGTCGTAGTAGTAGTAGTAGTAGTAGTAGTAGCAGTAGTAGTAGGAGTAGTAGTAGTGGTAGTAGTAGTACTAGTTGCGGTAGCGGTAGCCGTAGCAGGAGCAGGAGCAGTAGCAGTAGTAGTAGTGGTAGTAGTAGTAGTAGCAATAGTAGTAGTAGTAGTAGTAGTAGTAGTAGTAGTAGTAGTAGTAGTAGTAGTAGTAGTAGTAGTAGTAGCGGTAGCAGGAGCAGGAGCAGGAGCAGGAGCAGTAGCAGTAGTAGTGGCTGGTAGTAGTGGTGGTAGTAGAAGAAGAAAAAGTAGTAGTAGTAGTAGTAGTAGTAGTAGTAGTAGTAGTAGTAGTAGTAGTAGTAGTAGTAGTAGTAGTAGTAGTAGTAGTAGTAGTAGTAGTAGTAGTAGTATAGTAGTCGTAGTATAGTAGTAGTAGTAGTAGTAGTAGTAGTAGTAGTAGTAGTAGCAGTAGCGTAGCAGTAGCAGTAGCAGTAGTAGTAGTAGTAGTAGTAGTAGTAGTAGCAGCAGCAGCAGTAGTAAGCGCCACGAGCCGTTCAAGGGGGGGCCTAGTGGAGCATGGCCCTTGACGCGAGAGTTCATCTGCGTCCTTGTTTCTTGAGGAAGCCGCGTACTTGCTGCAAGGGCAAAGCGAAGAGGTGATTGCGTCGGGGGATATTTTTCTGCCGAGCTTGCTATCACAGCTCACTTGCTCTGAACTGTTTCTGGAGGCCTCGCAGTTTCTGCCACCTTTTGCATTGGAGAGGTTCCTTCTTTTCGCTGCTAGACACGACCCGCGTGAAACAGCTGCTGCGATTACTGAAATCTTCCTGGAACATGCAGAGCAGAGACTCGTCCGGTCTCTCCACTAGGCCCGCAACGAAGGCACAGGGTGCACATGCCAGCCACGAGCGGATCTTTCAGAAAGAGGCTGGCGCCCGCTCGCCGTGGTCCCAAGTCCAGGTACCGGATAATGCAGTACATCCTCATGACAATGAACATCCGGTTGGCGCGAGGGTTGCGGTTGCAGCCTCAGGCGCCGCTGAAACCTCTTTTGAGGTGAACAATGAGGCAGGTAAGCCGAAGCAGTTAGCGGCCACACGTGTCCGCAAACGGGCTTATCGAAGAGCATTAAAACGCGCTGCAGTACAGGGTTCTACATGCTATCGTGGACGGACGATTTACGTCCCTCAGCGGTATCCGGAACAGCGGCAAGCACAGAAGCCACAGCGACGGCACCGGGAGCGGCCAAGACTACACTGTCTTACTTGGAACTGCTCAGGCTTGTCAGGCGAGCTTCTCATGGAATGGTTCACATGGATGCGCGCTCGTCCGGACATCCAACTCTTTGCTCTACAAGAAACCCACTGGACAGACTCTCGTGAATGGAATCAGGAAGGTTGGCATCTGATACACAGTGCCTCAGGGAAGGGCAGACAGGCTGGACTTCTCATTGGCATTCGATCTGATGTCCTGCAGTCCTCGGACATCACATGGACGGAGGTAATTCCAGGCCGTGTTTTGCATTGGCGTGGCCAGGTCAATCAGCAACAACTTGATGTCATCAAGATATATCAGCATGCGCTGTCGTACAAAACAGAAGAGCAAAGACAGTCTGTCCTGCAGCGCAGAAAGACTGTCTGGAATGCGGTTGATAAAACATTGTCCTCTTTGCCGCTTCGTTCGTCCATCGTGTTGTTGGGTGACTTCAACGCCTCCCTCGCTCCATCTTGGGGAACCGTTGGTGATGGTGTGCATCTTGGCTCCAATAATGCTGGCCTTGCGACAGAAAGGCAGAGTTTGATTGACTTGCTATCTCAACACCGCCCTTGTGTGCTGAACAGCTGGGGTCGAAAGCAGTATACCTACAAGCACCCTACGGGATGCTCACAAATTGATTTCATCTGCGTTAGACGCCAGCTTGCGGATGGGATTGCCAGACAAAGTTCGGTTCTCAAGGCCCCGGTTGCGGGATGGAGGTCTGCGGGTCATGAGGTTGTGCAAGGCAGCATACCGGTTCGATGGACTCCATGGACAAGGAAGAAGAAGCCGAAGCCGTGCGACCCTGGCCCTTCTCTACCACTGGTACTTAGTCAGCCCAATCCGTCACTACATGAAGTGCAGCAGGCGGTTAAATCGGCGAGTACAGTTACTGACCATAGGCCAGACAAACCACAGCTGCAAAACATTGACTGCGGTGAAACAGCTTTGGCAGTATCCTCGGCGAAACCGCCCTCCGCGCTCGCAGATGATCAAGGCTTTCAGGGCATCCAGACACCAGCCGGAGCAGAAAATCAGGTATCGAGAACTCCGCAAACGGGCTCGAGTTCGAAAGAGACAGCAAATCCTCGACATTCTGCACCTAGCAGAAGACGCTGCAGCCCGGCATGATACCCGCACCCAGTATCGCTTTATAAGAATGCTGCCCCCAAAAAGCTTCCGGCGGAGAATCTGTCTCCGCTCCCCTGGTGGTGGCCTGATGATCCTGACAGAAGAGGCCGATGCTTTACTTCAGTACGCGAGGGATCTTTTTCGGGGTAAGTTGTGGGATGCTCCTGCGCTTCTTCTACTCAATCCTGAATGGTTTCGGGCTGATTGTTGGAAACGCGCTTTTCGGCAGCTCGCTAATCATAAGGCTGTCGCTGACTCTGAGGGCACAGTTGAAGCGTGGAAGCAGGTTGTTGATCAGGTGTCAAGTGCGCTTGAACAGATCTCGCTTGACAGCGTTGCCAATGCTTGTCCGTCCATTCCACAGGAGTGGACGCGCACGCAACTGGCATGGCTGCCCAAGCCTGGCAGGGCCACCTCGAGCCCATCTGGGTTGCACACTATCGGATTGCTTGGCCCAGATTCCAAAGCTTTCTTATATATCCTGAAGGAGCATGCAAACCCGTATGTTCAGCAGGCCATGGCCCCGTATCCGCAGTTCGCTTACAGACAGCACACCTCAACGGTAGATGCGCTCCTTAGAGCCAGCGATCATTGCCAGCAGATTCGACAGTTACTCGATGCACAGGTGGATGATATCACAGCTCGAATCCTACGTCGAGCACCCGCTGATCTCACGGGAGGCATAATGGCCAGCATTGACCTGTCGAAGGCATTTGACTCGCTGTCCCATGAGGAGATACTTTGCTCTCTTCGAGAGACCCACATGCCCGAAGAGCTTGCGCGGATGATTCTGCATGTCCACATCTCAACGACGGTCACCATTAAGCACAAAGGGTGCGAGCCAAGCTTTAAGATGGGACGAGGTCTTCGACAGGGATGCCCCATCGCGCCTATGGTGTATGCAGCTTGGACTGCACGACTGTGTCGTAAATTGGATGCGGTCATTCGGGATTCTTGGTCACAACAGCATCTTACCATTTTTGCTGATGATAAGCATTCCTGCTGGCCGGTGCATTCGGAACAAGAGCTCAACCGAGCTCTGACTGAACTAGGACTCCTCATTGAAACCATTGAAAGCTGTGGCATGACGGTGAACCTGGGTAAGTCCTCGGTGGTGATCGCCATGAAAGGTAGACAGTGGGTGCGCATTCAGAACCAGAAGATTAGGATGTGGAATGAAAAGCGCTGCATTCTCGTGCCCCTCCGAGATCGAAGCCTTTACATGCCGGTTGAGGATCACATGATATATCTTGGAACCAAGCTCAGCTACCATCGGTTTGAGGCGCAGACGGTGCAGTACAGGGCGCAGCAGGAGCTCGGGAAGGTTCTGAGGGTCAACGGTCCTCTGAACACAGGACGTCGACTCCAGGTGTACCGGACGTGCGTGGTACCCACCATCCTCTATGAGCTCACCGGCGTCGGCATCACGGGGGCCACCATGAAGGTTCTCACGTCCACCATGGCAATGCAGCTGCGTAAAGTATGTAGTAGGATACATGAACATGGGGTCTCCAATCAGGCAGTCCTCTCACGTGCTGGTCTCAATCTCAATGAGATCCTGTTGGGCAGAATGCGCAAGCAGCAGACCGCTATCACACTCGATCACAGCCGCTCGAATCAGCTACGTGCTCGGGCTCTGGACCGGACGACATTCCTGATTCGACAACTTCAGCACTTTCAGGAGGCGCCTATAGCAGCAGCATCCTCGCTCATACCGGTGACGACGGCAGAGCATGTTGCATGTCCACAGTGTGGTGTATACTTCACTACGACAGCAGGCATGCATCAGCATCTTCATCATCGCCATCCTGAAACAGTACAGGCCTCAAAATTGGCGTTCGACCGCCATCAGCATAGTATTAGCTTGTTTGGAGTTCCGGTATGTAGATACTGCCATCAACGGTGTGCTACATGGGCGTCACTCACTAAACATCTGACGCAGGGCAATTGCGTCAGCATCAAGCATGCGTTATTGGAAGGACTCACTCACTCTGGATCAGCTGCATCAACGCACTCTGGAAGCTGAACTTCGGAGTCCCCCACAACCACCAGACGATGCCTTGTTTCAGGAGCTTCCCTACTTTGAGACGGCAACTACTTTTCCTTCGGTGACTTCATCAGTGCTGAAACAGCACACTCAGGCCATCCAAAAGCTCACCTCCAAATGTGCATTATGTGGTCAGCTATAATCCTTTCACACACCAAAATCAAATCGCACTGGCAGCAGAGTCACGGTACTGCTTGGCAACTCTGTCGCCATCAAGCTTGCTCCGAATCAGGCAGCCTCAGTGCGGTGTTTCTCAGACCGTGCAGCTTCTGTGGCAGCGAGGCCAGGGACACGGGCGCCCATTCTCAGCAGCGCTCAGCCGTGTTTCAATTTCTGGCGGTGAACCTTCTCAAGCAGGCTGGTCACACTTTGTCCAGTCTTCGCAATGCCAAGCCGGTGCAGCACAAGAAATCCGAGGCAAAACCGAAATACAAGTCTTTCGTGTCACCTCTTGCGACGGCCTTCAAGGCAGGTGCTGACACTATTGGCCGGCCCGCCAACAAGAGTCTGGACAAGGCGGTACTCCCGCTCAGTTCCAGTGAGACACAGACAGCCCATGTGGTGCCCAGGCATGATGATCAGGCCACACGCAGGCTACCGATCGTACACAGTGGGAAGATCACGGACTTTTTCACTGCCTCGCGAGGTGCTGGCAACCACAACAACATGGCGCAGCAGGTGCATTGGCTCTGCAGGCTGGTGCTTCGCAATCCTCATAACATCTGCTACGCTAACTGCAGCTTGATTGCCTTGATGTACATGTTTGATATTGCAGAGCAACTTCCCGAGCCGATTACATTCCTACGCCCTACGCCGGCTGATGCGCAAGGCAGTTGGCAAAGCGAGCACATTTTCGTTGGTGCAATAGTCTTACTCCAGATTGGGAATTCACGGACAGACAACGGGATGCAGCAGCGTACCTTCAGTCTCTACTACAGGCACAACCCCTGCTGGACGTGACTTGGGACACGCGATGCGAGACCCCTGAAAGCGTCAGACTCAGAGAAGCACACAGACTTCCGGTTGGAATGCGAGTTGAGGGGGATGCGCCGCTGCAATCGATTATCAACAGGTGGCACTCAGCCTATGGTGATGCGGACGTTCAGGCCCTGATCGCAGCTCCCGACATCCTCTGCATTCAACTGGGGCGATCTACGGACACGGGCAAGAACCTCTCGAATATCACAATCTCCGATGCCGTTCACCTCTCAGTCTTCGCCGAAGGATTGCAGGTTGATTGGTTTCGCTATGAAGTGAAGTCGGCGGTGATCCACTTAGGTGAATTGATGACGTCGGGACACTACAGAGCTCTACTACGGGTCGGAAGCTCATGGTTCTACACTGATGATAACAGGGTCGCGACTGCAGTTCGTGCAAACAGAGCACTCGACGAATGTCTATGTGCTGGCAGTGACTCCGCTCCAGCACGCTCCCTGCGCTAGCCATGACCGAAGTGGAAATGCAACATACAGAGGAGAGCTACTTTGACAAGTACTTAAGTACTTCCCCTTTGGGGCACCCAAAACGGGAGATGAGCGGACTACGGCTCCGCCCTCGATTGAAGGCGAGGAAGATCAACACAAGTGGCAGTGCAATGGCGACAACTGGGCGACGAAGCCGGGCACAGGAGGCCGTGCGGCATGGACACGGGAAAGCTCGTCATGGAAGAGGGGTCGGGAAACGGAGTGGGCCCCCAATGCCCCCGCCGATCTGGTACTAAGGTTCATGCAGTTCCAGTTCGCTCGGCTATGGCGATCGGCTATGGCTCCAGTGTGCCCTTTCTGCTCTGCCAACAGTATTCGGCATGTGCGTTGAGTTCGGACTTGGTGTCTCATGGTCTTGTCGCACACAATGCTTTCCTGTACAGCATGAGCCCTCGGCGGATGTCGCAATCGTCGCGGCCTGCCAGGACCAGTCTCTGGCATCTTATATAGAAGCTCTGGGGATACGATAAGCCTCTACTCAGGCCCGTCAGGAGGATCTGCGCAGGACGTGGATGCTTGGTCCATCTCTTCAGAAGTTTCTGGGACATCAGGGGTCTCGGGGGCCTCGGATGTCACCATCCGCTATGATGCAACAGACTTGACACAGGTGACCGCCTCAGCTTCGGATTCGGATCCACCCGCACCGCCAGCAAACCAGCAGTACTCTCAGCAAGATTTGTGCCGTGATGCATTGATGGCTTGTGGCCTCGACTACGAACCACAGTTGGCTACTGCTCTCTCGTCGCTAAGTTTGCATATGGAGGATGTGCATAAAGGCTTTGCTGTGAGGGATTTGCGCAGCCAGGCTGGTCTGATGCCCCAGCGGCCAACGAAGCTGATCACATGGCTAGAGTATGTTTGGATACATTGTGGGTTCCCTTTGAGGGTTTGCTCAGCTTGCTGGAAATCTTCCCGGGGGAAGAGGCCAAGAGGATGCTCTCCCCAACAGTGACGGGGCCGACTCCGTCGCGCTTTGTCTGTTTTGGTGCCTATATACACGGCAATCAGGCAGGAATGCACAAGAGCACTCGCCAATTTGTATGGGTGGCGCGACTTCTGTGCAGCATCATTCGCTCGCTATGTGAGGATGAGCTTTTCTCCAGTGTGTTTCTGAGCTACAACATTCCAAGCGCACCGCATAAGGATGCACACAATTTCCCAGGAATCAACAACATTTTGGTTCCTCTCTCAACATGGCAGGGTGGCGAGTTGTGGATCGAAAGTCCCCGGGGCCACGTTGTCCTAGAACCAGGGGGAGTGCCAGGACATCTCCACAGCGTTTTGCCACCATGCCTGCAGTTTGATCCACGGCGACTTCACGCAGTGATGCCGTGGTCGGGTGATCGTTTCATATTGGGTGCATTCCACGTTCGCTCAGATTGGCTTCTGAAGGATGCAGATGCCTCTTTTCTTGAGATGCAAGGATTTCGGCTGAGCGGCCGAGTTCAGACGACTAAGGATCCCTATATGCAGCCTCGGGTATGACAAGTCTCATGCCCAGTAATGCCGGTGCTCTTCGAAGTGCAAGATGATGCATACTCTCATGCAGGTACGTTATTGTGATGATGGCCCTCACGCCACGAAGATGGCCATGTGGATGTGCTACCGCTCCGGCCTCCTGTGAGTCCGCTTGCGATTGTACAGGCGTCGTAGTAGCAGTAGCAGTAGCAGTAGCAGTAGCAGTAGCAGTAGCAGTAGCAGTAGCAGTAGTAGTAGTAGTAGTAGTAGTAGTAGTAGTTGCGGTAGCAGGAGCAGGAGCAGTCGCAGTAGCAGTAGCAGTAGTAGTGGCTGGTAGTAGTAGTAGTAGTAGTAGTAGTAGTAGTAGTAGTAGTAGTTGTTTTTGTTGTTGTTGTTAGTTGTTGTTGTTATTATTATTACTTATTATTATTATTAGTAGTAGTAGTAGTAGTTGAGTAGCGGTAGCGGTAGCGGTAGCGGTAGCAGGAGCGGGAGCAGGAGCAGGAGCAGGAGCAGTAGTAGTGGCTGGTAGTAGTGGTAGTAGTAGTAGTAGTAGTAGTAGTAGTAGTAGTAGCAGTAGTAGTAGTAGGAGTAGTTGTTGTTATTGTTGCTGGTGTTGTTGTTGTTGTCGTCGTACCAGTACTAGTAGTTCCCGTAGCACTTCTAGCACGAGAATTTCGTGCATGGCCCATCTAATTCCGATTTGTCCTTGGCATTCTGCCTCGAAAGCTGTCGGAACAAAGAAACCTACAGCGTCTTGTGCCGTGGATCCCCGATGAAGGCTGAATGAGTCTGAAAGGAGAACCACAAAATCGCAGCCTTTGTTGGAGCTTGAACAGGCTGGAGCATTTAGAATCAAAGATTCCAGGATTTACGATTTCATTTAGAAGTAAGTTCTGTGCAACAACATGTCATGTACGCTCCATTCATTGCGGATAGAAACAATTGGAAAGGACTTCATAGAAAACATAAGAGTTGTATAGCAATCTTGCTCCGGCTCGAGCTTGCATGTGGTTTCGAACAACACACTGTAAAAAACAAAAACGGAGGCAGTTCAGAGTCAGTCATGCCAGCAGAGTGCATCATCCGACTTCCTGAGGTAGCCCAAGCAGTTGGTTCGGGAAGCCATCCGAAGCAGAAGGCTGGCAGAGTCCCGAGTGGGCGCACATTGTAAGCGCCGACGGTGTCGCTGCGAAGCTGGCCAGGCGCAGCCAGCGCGGCGTGCCGAAAGCTTCGCTCGAATGCAAGCAGAGGCGAGTCTCTGACTTGACATCGTGGGACATCTAAGCCTCGAGCCAAGCTGCGTGCAGGCACGAGCCAAGGCACAAGCCGCAACTCCAAAGGCTAAGGCAGCTGCATCTCATGACAGCACCGTCCAAGTTTTGTAAGGTGTTGATCAGGAAGTGACTGTTGATCGCTGGCAGGCGAAAGCGTCGCGAGACAGGGCACCTGCGCTCAGACGCAACCTGCGACGAGCAAGGGCAAGAATCGCCGGCCCTACTGCGAAAGTTGAAGCTGTTGTTGGCAGACGGTCTGTCCAAGGCCTCGGAGTCGGGCTCACCCAGGACTCGAGAGAGAGTACGTTTGTTGCTTGCGCCGGTGAATGTCGAGTCGAAAGACTGTCTGTCGGATTCATTGCTTACAAGTGAGCGCCTCTCAAAACCTTAGCAGCGCTGTTCTGGCAGTCGCGAGTCCAAGTCCGTCTCGGTGCATCCTGTTGACAGGACCAGCAGAACAAGCCCGAGTTCCTCTGCACCGAAGGCCTCAATAGACTGCACTACTGGACTGCACTGTGAGCAAGGTCTGCCCGAAGCGAGTCACAGCCAGTCTCGCCGGGCATACTAGCCATGGTATGGACTTCTACCGTAGTGTTCAGTCGGCACCGGGGTTGTTCAGTGCGATTGGGCACCTTAGCGGCTATGACCCGGGAAGACCTCGCATTTGCTCTAACTTAATCAAGTGTTTGCCTGCACAATTCTCGAAAGAAGCACTGGGGGAAGGGGGACTGAGACTGAGCATCCCAAGTCAACCTCCTAGAAGCACATCGAAGCACTAAACACGAGGCGAAATTGTTTGGACTCTTCCCTAACAGCCCACGGGCCCTGAGGGGCCCGGCCCAGCCCGGGACAAGCACCCGGACCTGGAGGCCAAGGCTCGACTCGAAGCTCCGACTCGGGCCGCCGTTTCGGCCGCTCTGCTGCACTGTCAAAAGGTGAAAAGGCGCAAGTCGGCGCTTTTGTGCAGTAACCGATGTTCCTCCATGTGCACTATGTGGAGTCGAGATCCATGTCACTTTTGATCCTGTCGGTATGTTTCTCGGGCAATTTCTTCTGCGATACTTGTATCGGCTTGCAACCATGCATTGGACACCAGGGGACGACCTGCATGAGAAATGAAAAGATAGAGTATGCAAATTGCCCTGCAGAGCGTACAAGTGTTAGAAGTGAGGCGACGACAGTGCACGGGCGTGTGCATGCACCCAAACACAAGCGTGCCGCACGCGCCCGGACGTCCCGGCGCGCGCATACGCACGCACGCACGCACGCAGGCAGGCAGGCAGGCAGGCAGGCAGGCAGGCAGGCAGGCAGGCAGGCAGGCAGGCACGCAGGCATGCACGCAGGCATGCACGCAGGCATGCACACAAGCACGCACGCAGGCACGCACGCAGGCACGCACGCAGGCATGCACCCAAGCACGCACGCAGGCACGCACGCAGGCACGCACGCAGGCACGCACGCAGGCACGCACGCAGGCACGCACGCAGGCACGCACGCAGGCACGCACGCAGGCACGCACACAGGCACGCACGCAGGCAGGCACGCAGGCACGCACGCAGGCAGGCACGCAGGCAGGCACGCAGGCGGGCACGCAGGCGGGCACGCACGCACGCACGCGACGATTGAAGCAGGGCCACATGCGATTTTGACTTGGTATGTATAAGACGTAGGTTGTTCTGCGGCCGACCTTTCGGCGTGAAGGGCAGCGGTTTGGCAAACTTGACACTCCCCTCGACCGGCTGGTCACCGAATTTGTGGCATCACAATACCACCATGCTTTGAAGGAGAGAGCTGCCCCGACAGCATGTCTCTTCTGCCTGGAACAAGGTGCCCAAGGCTGCATCAAAAGCAGGGTCACCTGCAGCAACGCCCAAGGCCAATTTGCGCGAGCTCTGTTTTGATAGGTTTTGTCTTACGAGTCTTCTGTTCGGTTCAGAGGCTATTTCAATCAGGTCGTTCCGAACAAAACGATCCAAGCAGGACTGGAATGCCGGCTGGTGCGAGAGATTGAGATGACAGCGAAACTTGTAAAGTTTGTAAAGGCGACCACTCCGCGGTCAGCGGCTTCCAGAGGCGATGCTTGGGATTGTAATTGTGAGGGTGTGAACTGTCGCTCGAAAGACCTTCGAAGGCTCCATTGCTCCACAGACTCCACAGTCGACAGGCAGAGGGCAGGCGCTGTGACCTGTTGATCAGAGTTCGACTTGCAATTTGCATGCCGAATCCTTGAGAAGTTCTGATGGCAGGTAAAAGCCAAGACCAAGCCCAAGGCTGTCCAGACACCGACGAGTAAATTGCAGGCCTCGGGGGCGAGATGGGGCGAGGTCGCGAGAGGATTTTGGCATTGTCTACTCATAGAGGCGTAAGACTTCCTGAGTTCTGAAGCAGGCCTCAATGCAAGCTGCATACTCTGCTTACAGCGTCAAGCATTCAGATCCATGCGGTTCGAGAGCAGTCACATTGAGAGCAGAAAAGTTGGCAGCGAAGTCTGCGCCCGATGGTAAGGGGTGAGCTGCGGTTTTCCGGGGCGTACAGCATTTTGCAATTTATATAACGACCATGAGGCCTTCCATGCAGTTTTGCACGGTTTGGGGTTGTGTTCAGGTAGCAGGCTGGCAGCTGCAAAGAAGTCACGGAGCCTTTAAAAGCGAACTCGAAAGCCTTGTGGGCTCCGCCGTTTCAGGTGCCATCTCGGAGCTCCAGCCCCTCGCCGCGCTCGAGGTGCCAACAGGGGTCCATGGGCCTCGAAACGGCTGAAACCTGAAGTACGAAAACTTTTCCAGGCCCGTGGGAACACCAACGTTTCCGCGATCTCCGAGTAATGCATCCAGCCCTGGACGATTGGAGAGGCCCGATTTGGGTGGCGATTGGTGATAGTAGAAGGGTCGCAGCCGATCGGAATGTTTCGTGGGAAGCAATGGCTGCAATATAATTCTACAGAAGCTCCGACCACAAGCTTGGAACAACCTCGCCCAGGACTGCGGGCTAGGGTAGGCCTAAGATTCACAAAAGCTACTGTAGTTCTTTGGAGCTTGCGGGAATTGTCGTTCACAAATTCCTGCCTAGATAAAGGCTGCAATCAAAGGAATGAAGCGCTGCGGGGGGGGGGGGGGACGTGGGGCCGCCGAGCTTTTGGTTGCAAGAAGTGGACGGCGAGGTGTTTTTTGCGCACGAACTTGTACCAAACACGCCTCCTATAAGCAACTCCTGTGAGTTGGATCATGGCAATCCAACGAGGACGATGAGGACAACTTCAGGCAAGTCAGCGAACAATCAAACTTTCTTCGCTTGGTGACAGCAACGACTTTTTGGAATCTATGCTGACAACAAAAATGGCCCGAATTGAGCGGCTAAGCAAATTTGGCGAGTTTCAGGACCTCAGAGTCATTGGGACAATGTCGATTTCAATGGTCGGAAAGACGCCAAACTCAACAGGGGCAGCAGCGTCAAGCTTCCCGGCAACATGTTTTTTTTTGCAAGCTTCACCACCCGGCGAAGACGACATTGGAATCTATGAGGATAACGAGGGCGCACCACCATACTGAAGTGACGTTTACGAATGCTCCTCGACGACCGCAGTTGTAGTACGAACCAGTACGACCTCGCAAGCAGTGGGGCCTGGAAAGAATTGGAAAGAGTTTGATGCGGGCGGCGGTGGTGATCGCTTCTTCAAAGCTTTGTTCTTCCTCAGAGTGTGTGCAAGATTGTGCAAGCCAAGGCTTCTGGACTAATCTGCTGATGATCAGAGCAGTATCGGAAAGAACTGATGTTTCCATCGTCGTTCAGAGTGCGGCTTCTACCTTCTACAAACTGGGCACAGACGAGCAAAACAGAAAGCAACAGCGACAAGGACGTCCTAAAATGCAGCGAGCTGCACCAAGGCTTCAGGACAACTTCTCGGTCAGCAACGTCAACTACAACGGCGTGCCCCTGTGCTTCACAACCACTACGTTTGCTTCCTCAAGTGCTAGAGTGCGGTCGGTAAGTATGGCAACAAGGAGGCACGGAAGACTGCAAATTTCGCCGAGGCCACTGGACAAGACCTTAAGTTTTTCGATGCGATTTTTGTTTTTCATGATGTGACCAGCAGCGCTCAGCGATTTGACAGACGTCGGCGTGTAGCGGCGAAAGCAGTGACGATGATTGCAGTGGCAGCGCTGGCCGAGGTAGGTCTCACGCAGCAGAATTCCAGCAATTTTCGTTGTTTTTCCATGAACACAGGTCGCGGCGACAGCACGTCAGCACGTGGGATGCCTTCAGGGACGCCTCTACTCTATCTTGCTCCAGGAATACAGCTTAAAAAAGTTCGAGCTGCTCGCTCTGATTCTTCGTTTCCTCCTCCGGCTACCGAAGCAAGCAAACCTAGGACGGATCTCTTCTTCCTTGCCAAAAAGATTGACGATATTGACGGCCAGGCTATTGGCTAGCTCCACGGCGCAGGAGAACCAGTCCGTCACCGGCATGATTGAAGGTACTGCTTTTCCTTGCATCTATCAACCTGCACAAGAACCCCGTCTCCCTCGCGGTACAAGTTCTGCTACCACATGGTTGTCACTGGCTCAAGTGGAACGGAGAGCTCCAGGGTTCGAGGACAATTTCTACTGCCAAAGCTTCGCCGACGCTGGCTTTGAAGCTCTCGCAATCTTTAAGGAAAAGCAGAAAATGTTGTCGACGCGATGAAACAAAGATTTTGGATTACATCCTCATCAACGCACGAGGTGACTTTCCAAGCCGAGTTTCCATTGCGATGACTTTTCGAACCACAAAGCCTGGTAGTTTGTGGTCTTTGGCGATAAGTTGCAAGAGTACGATGCATTGACTTCCTAAGACCGGCGACCCGTCTTTGTACTCTTCCATGTCGTGGGTTTTTGGAAACAAGCCTGTTGTGAGTGGGCTGTGTGCAGTGCTAGTCCCAACATCCCTTGGTATGCTCAGAAAGTCATACAGAAAATCATCCATCAAGTCCGAGTTTGGGATGAAATCAGCAAGCATTATGAGAACGTGTTTCGCGCTGCTGTCCTGATTTTTGTGCACCTGATAAGCTTGGTTCCAGGAAGCCGCAAAACCGCCCCAAGCTTGTCTGCAGTTACCCGCACTTTGGCAAGCTTGACAGTTTTACGGCCTCCGTGTGCAAACTTCGTAATTTGAAGGCCGGGCTGTGTAAGTTGGATCTTTTACAGGCAACAGCAGAAATTGGACGCGCAGGAACCTCAATCACCGCAGCAAGAACTTCAGCGTTATCCTTTGTGCCCTCCTGGCACTTGGCATCAGAGACTCAAGCAGGTCATTGCGCTATTGACTAAGGAACATAAGAAAAGGCAGCAACAGAAATTTCGAAACTGGAAGCAGTCCTTGCAGAGCAGCAGCTCTTTGTAACTGTAACAGTGTTCAAAGGTCTGCCGTTTCCAGAGTGTTGAGCCTGTCACCTTGGTTTCTGAAGTTCTTCGTGTCACCAAGGCCAATTAAGCAAGTTTGGATCCAAGCTCCTGCTGATGTCGAGGAGTTGTGGCTCCAACTGCGAAACAATTGTGAGTACCGGCGATGGAGTGATGACATCTGCCCAGGCTTCTCGCTGCTGATTGCGCTGCCTCCGCTCCTGAACTGCTAAACTTCTTGCTCCTCCGTCAAGGTCAACTGCATGGGCTCGTTTCCAGTGGGCAGCTCGGTATCTGGGAACCTCGCCCCGCTTCTTCAATTTGTGCTCTTCTCACCGTCTTAGCATCGCTGCGCCCAAGTTCTTGGAAGGCGACCACCCCCCTTGCGACTCCGTGTCAAAGTCTAAATGATGATGCAACTTGTGATGCATGAGCAGAAGCTGTCCGCGCTTTTGCTGTCCACTTGCAGCGGCTGCTTGAGTCGGGTCTCCACGGTGTCGCCTCAACCTTCGTGTCCGTCAATGCCGTCGTGTCCATGCCAAATGCAGCCGCTCTTGCGTTGTCGCTTCCGGCTGGCCTCGCGCCGTACACATGCGTTATCACCACTGGCTGCGACGCCAGCAAGATCGTGCTCATGGGCACCGGGACTGTCCGCTGGTTGAAACACAGCCGACGCTGCCGCAGCAAAGTACGAGCATCGCTGACCTGCTAGAACCAGCTAGAGAACCTATTCAGCACTGCATTCGTTTGGGCCTTTCACCAGTGCGGCTGGAGCCTGATTCATGAAGTTCGCAAAGGTCAGAGCATTGGGTGGACGGGTCCGGCGCACTGCGGAAATAATACCATTTAGGTGAGCATGTGGGAGCCGCCGAACAACCATACAATAACCAGTGGACCAGAAAGGATGGGTCCTAATGCAAGAAACCCACAGTGTTACCGCGATGTTTGGCGAACAACCCGGCTGTCTCCATGCCAAAGCGTGTTTTGCCTAGGAGGAGCTTTTGAATAAGTGAAGTTCAGCCCCGGCATTCTCTCGTAAAAACAGTTCGGCTTCCACCTCAGAGCAGAGCTCTGGCTAATTTGCAAAGGCTTTAACTTGACCTCCCGATATCTTGGACAAAGCGTTCCAGAAACCATGCTTCACGTAGCCAGAATAGATTCGAATAAACGCAACTGTACGACTGAATGTGTCGCATGGTCAAAATGAATGTTTATCCCGAATCCCCGGTAGCTCTCCCAAAGCAAATGTCTGTGATGTTGCCCCTGTTTGCCCTTCCACGAGATTCGTTCATTATCGCAAGTTTCAAACACTCAACCCGTGCTCGTGCTTTCATCGAAGCCGAGCGTCGCTCTTCTGCTTGGTTGCTCGGGGCGGCCATGCCATAGTGCTGAACACTGGCTGAACACCTTGCACTGCTACACTCTTGGAGTCAACAGTGCATCGTTTTTCTCCGTCGTCGTTTGGCAGGCAATGTGTCAAGGAGTTCTTCCATAATTATCTAAATTGTTAAAATCTCTAGATTTCAACCCCTGGATATACTGAGTCAAGCGAACACATGTGGCGTTCTTGCCTTGCTTTGTCCGGACTCTAATTACCAAGTATTACCAGTGCAACGCAAGAATAAGGAAAACCTAACGGTAACTAAGGAACCAAAAACCAAGTAGCTAGCCAGTAGCTACTGCAGGAACTAGCTATAGGCGTAGTTCCTCGATGCCCAAGTAGATCCGAAGTATTAGTAAGTAGCAGCCACCTGCTGCAAGAAACAAGCAACTAACGTCTTTTGGGCTGCTCCCTACTCTTGCCCTGGCACTGACCTAGCCGATAGCCCTGCTCCTCTTGGTTACAAAGGCGACGCCGACGCGTGCGCTATTCGAAGTTTCTAGTTGTAGAGTGGTGCTTTGACGGCAGACTTGACAATGAATCGCTTGTGCAGGGACAAGCCCCCAACCCGAAAGGTGTAACTGGCACAGCTTTGAGAAGGAGACGAAAATGGAAAGCATGTTATAGCTGGTTGGCGCTTTCGGCTCGCGCCTGTAGGCATCTTCTTGCGTCTCGAGCTGCATTTCGGGAGGATGCAGGCGCAAGCAGCCTCTCCGAGCAGTTCGGCAGCCTCCAGCCCTTTCAGGAGGAGTGCCAGCAAACGCGTCAGATTGAAGTCGTTTGCGCCTTTCAACTTTCAAGTCTGCGCCTGATTACATTCTCGCAAGAAGGATCCCCGCCAAACGCCTTCCTGGAACGGAGAGGACAACTAAATAAGCCTAAGCTGGCAAAAGCGTGTGTTCGTCACAGGTGCAGAGAACAATGGGAGATTCTGTCTGCAGCTGCTTGTGCAACTGCTTTGAGACCAGAGGAACCTTGTCTTAATCTTTCAAGCACAGGAGCATGCAGGGTAGGGTCAGAGGTCTATCTAGTGGTACTTCAGATTTGTGTACGCTACTTCGATCTGTTTTTGTTTCTCTCTGCCCTCTTGCGCAATTAAACACAGCCCCTGCATAGTCCCTGCATGTAAGAGGTTGTGCAATTGTACATGTACGACCAAATGTGGCGCTTGCACTCGCCAGTCCCAAACCTGTGGCTGCGCACATACGCGCTACAAGAACCAAGACCTTGAAGGGATTTGCAGAGGGTCCGAACAGGTATGTTCACATAAACTCATAAACTCATGATGTGCGTCCTTGTTGGTCATTGCCAGTGTATAATTTTGGAAGATCTGTTTCTCATAAGGCGCCAGAGAGGCTGCCCGCCACGATAGGACCACGCCTTCACCAGCTGTGTCTGCTTCGCCACGAAGCTCGACCTCGAGCCCGTTCCAAGCAAGGCCATTGGTGCATTGAACAACCACAATGCATTGGCATGGTTCGGCGCAGATCCCAGACAGTTGAAGACGCCGTAGTGCACGACTCGAGGACCGCACTAGTACTAGTAATACTAGTACCACAGCCCAAAGCCATTCCGGACCACCCCATGATGGCGTTCTACTCGAGGACCATTGCGAAGACAAGGCCCACGACGAATCCAAATCAGAATGCGGGTGGCGATGTGCCGCGATTAGACGAGGCCCAAAACCGGCGACCGAGATGCAGGCGGCACCGTGCCATTGGCACGATTTGAATCCCAACACGCGCACGGTACAGTGGTGAGAGTGCGATGTCGGGAGCCGGGAAAGCAAGGAACTGTGGCGAGAGTATGACGGGGCCACAAGCAGCAGTACCAATCGGAGAAAAACACACCGGCCACAAAATGCGAATGGCCTTGAGCGGCACTGTGCGGAGCAAGATTCCCCACTTTTGAATTCCAAACGTTTTATTTTCAGTACATTCCATTGCCACACTGTTCTGAGAATGACATGGAATGACCTTATGATCCAAATTCACGGCAGTGCGGTGTTGGATTGCACCCCATGGAGCGTCGCTGTTGCTTGCTGAACTCAGTCTGCGAGTAGTAGACATGGAGCATCAAACACCCTTGCTGATGAGAAGTGTAGTGTGTAGTATTGCCGCCTGCAGGATAACACCAGCTCGCTTCCAGATTGACAAACAACAACTGACGAGTCAATCCACGTCCATAAAACCGAAGGCCGCGAGGCAGCCCGACGAGGCCACGGCTATTGGCAACCTCGCCAGAATACAAGACTAGGGTTGGAAGGGGTCATGCTATGTAGATGCTTGTTTTTCAGACCGGGCGCAGAACCAGAACATCAGAACATCCATGAGGCTGCACGTGGGTACAAAATTGCATGTGTCATGATGCCGGCGTTTGCAGGTCAAGCCCTGGCTCATCTCCGCGACGCTTTGGAGGGTGCGAGTCGCAGGAGATTGCACAGCACGACTAAGGAAAACTACTAGTCCGAACATTCCAAGCAAGTCCAGGATGTTTATGTACGTCGAGGTCGCCAGGATTCACTTACTCCTGTGTACGAGAGGCGGCAAAACAAAACGAGAAAGGAAACAAGAAGCAGCAACTTGAGGTGGCCTGAATTTGCCGCTCGAAGACTGACTTATGGATCGAGAACTCACTCTCGGCGGAGCTCCACTTGCACTGTACTGGTGCAGTATATGCTTCCGTGTGTACTGCCACACCATGCCACAACAGTACGGCAATGCCCGCTTGGGGTTTGTTGACTGTTTATACAACGTAAAAGTATTCAAACACGATGGGTCATTGAATGAAGCCGGTATCTAAAGTTTAAAGATGCCAAAAGAAGACAAGGAAAGTGTGCAATCCGTCCCAAACCAGGAGCCAGAAACCGGGTGAACCGCACGTTGTCGCCGAATCTGCCTAAGCCGCGGTTGTACCTCATATGAAGGCAAAGATACCCGGCCAGACAGTTTCGAGCGGAACAGGGCGCTAAGGCAAGTCGTTGCTGTCGGGCTGGCTCCGGGCGCTGACTGCAGCAACGAAATCGATAGTCGTAGCTTCTTCGGTGGAAAATTAAAAGAATCACGGATGGAAGCTATCCACACTAAAAGACACTAAACTTGAGGATCTGCTTTTTGGGCTGATCGGCTGTGCATTTCCGGTATCACAATCATTTCATGCCAGTCCCCTCGGACGACGCCCCCCCGGGCTGCTGAGCGATGTCTCGTCCACACCTCGGTTCGAAGATGTTTTATTGGCGTGGGATGCGGATGCGGCATGAAGCTGTGAAGAGTGTTGTGGAACATGAGTGCTCTTCAGAGTCGCATGTTCAATGACCAAAGGTCGGAGGACGGTGTTATGGTTGACTCTCCCCGGCAAGAGATGCTTCTCCTGCAGCAGGAGGCCGCTTGCTATGGCAAACTGGCTAGTCATGGGTTACCACGTGTAATGCGACAGTGTCCAGAGCTCAAGTGGCTTATGCAAATTGTAGCAACGTGCACACTGACGAGGTTTGATTTGACTGCGGGCTTGCAGCTCCGAGATTAGCAGATTAGCAGCATGCCACGGAGTTCGTCAGACGTCTGTTGCCTTTCCCGAAAGCCATCACACGTTTGCGTGCCACTGCAAGCTATCAGTGTTGTTTCCTGGCACACATCGCCAGCCTATAGATTTTGAAGTCAATGATGGCAGCCGCGAGAAGAGCCCCTTGGCTTTGTTGACAGGTTCCGAACATGTGCAGACTCGAGTTCACTTGAAAGCTTCACAGCTCAGGAGATTGATGACCGCCTTGGGCTCCCACAGCTGCCGCTGAGGGCCTATCCCATGCTGGTACCGAGCAACTCACATTTGACATCATTTCTTGGCCAGGACACGGACGGGCCCCAGGAATCAGCACATAGTCTTGTCGCTCGCATTTTCCCGGTTTCGCACCATCGTGGTTTACAGCTGATCCAGTGCACCCAGAGGGTTGACTCCAAGTTCCGTTCTATTCCAGGAGCAGTCTGACGAAGCTCGTCAGCGGAGCCGTATGCTGGGAGCATTGAGCCTGGAGGCTCAATGGGGCAGGGTTCCTCGCTGTTCAATCCAACTGGACATTGTTGCGATTGACACCAGTTAATGTGCCAGGCAATGTTGGCAATGCTGTCTCTCTCTCCGTTGTGCTTGTACTTGGCAGGCACCGCGACGCTCTCAATGGCCAGACATAGAGGCCACTTGGAACTTCAGGGCGAGCATGCATCTGGACTTGCTCTTGGGGAAGTAAGCCTCTTCGTCTAGACGCCTGCTGGAAGCCATAGTGTTGCAAGTTGATTGCACGACACATGTCACTGTTGACATGTCGTGGCCATCGCTGATGATGGTGATTGGCGATGTTGCTGCTGCTGCTGATGATGCTGATGATGCTGCTGCTGATGATGATGATGATGATGGGAGGATGGTCGCGAGGATGACAGAAGTCCTGAGACGATGCTGATGATGCGCGCTGACGATGGGTATGATGCGCTCTTATTCATGGTGTTGGTACTGGTGACCAACAGAAAGAGAAGCACAATGATATTGCTGATGGCAGTGATCATGATGTGGGTGTTGATGGTTGTGAAGAAGACGCTGCTGCTGATGATGATGATGCTGGTGATGGTGCTGATGGCCATGAAGGTAATGATGAAGACGATGGTGTTGATGATGTCCCTAACGATGATGATGACGACGATGAACATGATCCATGGTAACATGGTGATTGACATGGTTACGCTGATGGCGAATGTGGTTCATTGCACGAAGTGCTAAAAATAACAACCAAGTCTTTGCTGGAGGCTGGGTTCTTGGCTTGTCCGATTGAGCCGTGGCTCGAGGGGGTTCCGAGGGCTCCCACCCACTCGGACCTCGGCGACTCCGAGGACAAGATCCAGTTTTAGACCCTATAGGGGGCGGTACGGGATGGTTCTAACTTTCCCCGCCGTGGGGCGCCACCTCCAGAAAGTAATGAAAATCTATGGAAAAAACTTCAAGACCCATCCCAGCTGTTGAAGCACAGGGGAAACTTGCATTGGCGACGTGTCTGCGGGTTAGAAGGGTGTGGGGCGGCATTATACGGCGCAGTACGGCGCGGGGCGGCACCGAGCGGTACATAGCGGAGCAGCTTAACGGCACTACCACCGTGACCCGGGCACTCACTTGGTCGGAGCAGTAAGAGAGCCTGGTTTTATGTGAAAGTGCAAATGCCGACCTCTTATAACATGGTCCCGACTCCTCCTGCAGGCGCCGTGGCGGCGGTTGCCCCGGCTGCTCCGGAAGCTTTGGGAGTGGCTGCCCCAACCGACCCGGCTAAGAGGAAGGTCAAAGTGAGCAGCGTGCTTTTATCAGGCAGACGAGGCCAAGGTTCCGGAGCTCAAGCAGATCGAGGTGGACGGCTACTTCAAGGTGCTTATTGAGAAATACAAAGGTGGGCCGGTTCGCCCGGAGACCGGCCCTCACCAGACCAGGTTGTCGGCCTTGAAGGTCAGGCTGATCGATATGCCGACTTCGCCCTCTTTGTAAACTTCCAGCACCGCTTCGCTAAGAGCCCCAAGTTCAAGAATCATATTTTTCAGCCTGATGGCCGGTTGAGGTCTCGGGACCCCCGAACTATGAAGCCTGGCTTGTTTGCTGAAACGTGTTCGAGACCCTGCTCGAGGTGAAGGACGCAGCGGGCAACGTGGTCCCCATTGTGACACAGAGCGCCCTGGAGCTCTGTAGGGACAGGTTTCGGGACCTGGTGGTTCCACGTGTGGCACTTGTTGGTGGTGGCTCATGGCATCGGGCCGATCGAAAGGCCCGCCTGGGGGAACTGGTTCGGGCACCGACCTCGGAGAAGCCCCTTTCGCGGTCAAAGATGAGCACCCGCACTTCCTTTAGAGGGCGGCGACCAGAACCGTGAAGCTCAGAAAGGAGGAGGCGGAAGCCTACACCTTGGGCACCTTGGTCTGTGCCGCCGAGGCTGCGTACTTGGGACCGTGCCACAAGGTTCTTGGTAGGCTTGGGCTCTTGAAGAAGGCCTCGAAACCAGGTTTCCTCACACCGGCGGCTGTCAAAAGGACGTTGGCTTGCGTGAGCCGCAAAAGCTACAAAAGCGCCATGCTCCATGGATCTGCTGCGCTTAGCTGCGACCGACAGGACCACGGGGTGGGACCGGGGTTGGCCTGAGCGGCCAGGAGCACAGCCGTCAGTGTGCACGAGAGACAGGCCCGCACAAGGGGAGGCAGTTCTTCACAGAATTCTGGAACATGCTCCGGTACATCGCCGGAAGGGGCTTGTGTCCATGTCACGTTGCCCCTTGCTCCTATTCCTTGTTCTTCGTTGTGGGACGCACCATAATCCACCCTTCGTTTGCAGAGATGGCTGGACACATGCGTTCTGTTGTTGGTGGACCTCGTCATCACATGCGACCGCCTGACGATGGGTGCCTCGCTTCTCGCGTTTTCCAGCGCCCCAGCGGCGCGATGGTTTTGCCCGGTGAGCTGCAGGGAATGGGGCCCGAAACGGCTCATCTTTTGGGGCCTGCCTTTGCGCCATTGCGTACTCGGAAGGCTGCTTTTGCGGAACTTGCTTCCGCGCGTGACAATCACGGACTCCGCAACGAGCGCGGACAAGCGAAAGATAAGCCTCCGGGTCATGGCCCAACCCCGGCACTCAGAATGCCCGAAAACGGGCTACCTTTCGGGCGGAGCTCGTGACCAGCCACCTCGTAGAAAAAGAAGAGAGCGTGCCGGGCGGTCGGGTGGGGGCACGCGAACACGTCTGATTGTTGTATTAAATGTTGTAGTATTGATGATGACGATGATGATGGCTATGCCTGCTGGTTGTGATGATGATGAATGATGATGCAGAGGGGAAGGTGATTGTGAGTGACGGTGACGATGATAATGTGGAGGACGGGATGATAGCAGTAATGAGAGAGTTGATGATGTTGGTGTTGGTGGAGTGAGGCCCGGTGCCGGAGCTTGGTTTTCCCAGCCCAGAACGGCAAGGCAAGACTAAATCAGCAGAAAAAAGAGTGTGCGCAGTAGGGAGGGCTGGAGCCTTCATCGCCCTAGGATCAGGAGCATCATCGGTTCTCGACACCTCCGCTTCTGCAAGCATGTCTGCGCATCCGACACCATCCACACCTGAGCAAGTCGGAGGTCCATTTGTAATTCAAAATTGCTCGCCGACAAATTCTTGAAATTGCCCCAACTGCTGCTCATGATGTTGGGCCGCGTTTGCCCATCATGGCATGGGGAAGCTTCGAAACGTGTTCAACGACCGGTGTTATTGAGTTTCCGCAGGCACCGGGATCCCGCAATGTGTGCATCCGACCACCAGGCAAGCAGCGCTTGGCACGGAGTGGCTTATTCGAACAGGCGACAACGGCATTGACAGAGGGCTTCCCAAAGATGATGCAACCAATGAGCTTGGCAACGTGGCCTTGTCCGCTGTGAGCGATGCGGTGAGCAGGGAAATGGACTTTAGATACGCTATGATACGCTCAACGACAGCAACAGCAACAGCAGTAACAACAGTGCCGCCGAGTTGAACGTCACTGGGAATCTTCTTTCGAAGGGCTACTGAAAGGCCGTGAAACATCGAACCCTTAGGACTTAAGCGCAACGGTGTACTTGATGCTCCTTGGGTGCCTCGCTTCGCGTCGCTTCGGATGCGTTTCGGACATTTTTCGATCCGGTATGTTTTTTCTGAAGCTCGGAATCGAGATGTCGTGTGTAGTGCATCTTGTTGCAGGGGATGGCATGTACGAGTTTGCATCATCAGTGACCGCAACTGGTGTCGCTCGAACGCTTTCAATGTGTATGCCCACCCACACCACCCTGTTCCATCTGCAGTGATGGGGCGATGCCGCCTCGGACGCGCTTGAGACATTGTTTGATCGGAGTTCGAGATCTGAAGCCTACCGCCGCTTGCGCTTTTTTGCCAAAAGACTCTTTGAGGTTTGTGCGGAAGGGACATGCCAGCGGTAACATCCGGGGCGCAATTCATAGAATCGGTGCAATAGGTGCAACTTGTGTGCATCTAAAGCACGTCCCGAGCCCGCATCCACCGTTCGCTTCTGAAGCCGCTTTTGGACGACAGTATTTGTTGAGAGTGCCCACCTCACGGTTGGCAAACGAAGCTCCCCCCTTGTCCGTGGCCCACCAGGGTGCAATTCAAGCACTCCGGTGCCATGCCTGGTAAATTGCTATCGCAGCGTTCCTGTGCCCTGCAGGGCATGCATTACGTTCAGCTCCTCGAGTTTGGCCGCCATTTCGAAGACGAACTTGATGATGGTGATGACGACGACAGCCAGGCACCTGCGTTGTGGTGGTTTTGAATACCCATAATACCCGATTCGGAGACATGGCAAGAAGCCCTGCGAATTGACAGTCTGTTGACCTGTGTTCCATGCGCTGAACAACCAGAACGACCCTGAAACATGCATGTGCACAGTGATACTGTATGACACAATTAATTAAATAATTAAATGCACCCTGGCAGCGTTGGTTTTTCCGAAATCCCGGCGTTGTTTCGGCTAGCTCCATGCACATCAAGACACCATTCGCTGCACCACAGGAGCCTAGCTTCGCCAGTGACTCGACAGACGACGACCCTCTTTGGGACGACTTGGAAGGTGGCGTTCGTGCGCTTTTTTTGGGTACACGTTCCTGGTGACTAGATGTTGCAAGTGCCCTGAAACCTGCAGGTCGCGCAGCCTCCGAGGCTGCATCTGAGGCTTCGAGCATCTCCTGGGATGATGATTTCAAATTCATGTCGGAGAAGGTGGAAGACTGCTTGGCAGAAGGCCGGGTGCTCAGAGGTGACAGCAAACAGTGAGTAGGCCTGCTGCGCAATACAGAATGCCGTTAAACACGTGGCAAGTGGCCCCATCTGAGGTCATCTAGCTTTGCCAGCTGAAAGTGCCCACCTGCCGGAGACAGCGGGCACGTGAGCAAGCTGGCATAGTGAGCTAGGGCAATGATTGCAGAGAAGCCTTCCTACTTACTTTGCTGGGCATTTGTAGGACAGTTGCCGTACATGTGATTTTTTCATACGTGCATTTGACTCAGCGGCACCTGGCCGTATGTTGCATTTCCGGCGCAGCATCCTAGATTTGGCACATCGGCGATGCTTTCCGGACAGATGTGGGCTTCATGTATGTCGGATGATTCTCAACTTGGGAGAGCGCTCGGGATCTGGAGACAAGACGTTTGTACGGTAGGCCAAGGGTGTGGTGCTTGATCGGGCTGACTTTTGTTCATTCTCACGCGATGGTTATCGGCACAGGAATACTCGGAAGCATTTTCGAATGTTCACACTCACACCTTCCCTATTCGTACAGTCAAAGATATCTGTACCAACTTCGAGAAGACGTATTGTGACGGCATGGTGCGTCACGAAGCTTCTCCAGCAAAGGGCGCACAATAATTTGGCAGTATGCGGTTGTCACCGCACTTTCCAGAGAAGAAGCATGGTGAAGGTTTACGGTGTAGAGCCGTGTAGGGCGGCTCAGATCGGACGGGGGTGGGGGCAGAAGTGTGAGTCAAGTAATGGTTTCAGTTTCTTTACTCGACCACTGCGACAATAACATTGTTGCCTCAACAGCTTGTTGAGCCTAGACAGTTTAGGTTTCAGCATTTCCCATCCAAGACTTTGCGGCAAGACCTACGATCATTGGCATCAGTCAACGAGATGGCGGCGATAAGTGTATTATGAAGGGGACAAGGCTTGTACCTGTTCGGAAGCAAGAGCCACCTGCGATTCTGTGCGTGCACCTCACATGTTGGTTTTCCATCTCGATGTGTAGAACTAGGGCGGGCCTATGATCTAGTCCAGCGATTGCAATGGTGTCTATTGTGTGTGTGTGTGTGCGCGCACGGGCACAGCCTGTCAGTGAGACATGAAGCTTTGTGGCACACGGAGCATGTCGAGAAACCAACCTCATCATTGGATCAGAAGAAGATGGCAACTGATGGCAACCAATTTGCATATTTCGAATCATTGTGTGACTAGTGCAGTGATGATTCCAACCAGGATTGGTTCTTTGAAGACATCTCACCATGTTTAAGGATTGGAAGGGAGAAGTGTGATATTTCTCTTCTCGGTCAGTTTGGGCTCATCCAGAACCTGAGGTCGAGGCTCAAGGTCGCCTTGGGCCGCTCAAAGCTTGTGAAGCTTGCAAAGCTCATGAGCAGCTCATAATGCTCTCCTGGCCAAGGGTGCTTGGTGTGCGTGGAGGATTTGTCGATTGCCATGTTTGCAGGCGTTTACCGCTGAGTACTGGCTACATGCACTTCTGCTTAGAACATATTTCCCTTCAGGAGCAGAACGAAGATTGGTTGGGCATGTTCCGAAGCCGTGCTGCACATTCCTTGCCTTGCAAGACAAGTGCGCTCACCACCCCAAACTTTCCCGCGCATCAGACAGAATCCACTCTGCGTCTGACGTGACTGGGAAACCGTTCAGATGAGTTTTGCTGGTGCACCATTCAGGCGCCTACATGGTGACACTCTAGCGGTTTACATGTGATGTGTGCGCTGGACGTGCTGCTCTGATAGCCGTGAAATATTTACGAAAGCTGTGGAAGCACGACCAAAGCTATGGATATGTACTGGTTCTTGTACTGGTTGATGCAGCAAGATTCCTGCCGAAAGCTTGTGCAGTCATGTGTGATCAGCAGCTTCCACACAGCTATATACGGCTTGTCAGTGCCACAAGACATTTCCAGTGTGCGGACGTCGCCTGTGACGTCCGTTCACACGTTCAATTCGTGCTCTGCCTTGTATGCAGATTGCAATCACAATCGTTGAGTCTTGCCACCAAGCGGACGGATTGCTGTCGGCTGGTCCCAGGTTCAAAACACATGCAAACTCTTGTCCGGGTTTTCCTTTTAGCATAGATTAGTGTAGATTTACAGGCTGGAGATACTTCTCTCTGCATCACTATGCCGGTCAGTCCAAGCTTGTGACAATGACGGGCAGTGCAGATTCGTCGTTTCCTTTGCAAGCTGGAGGCGGAGAATCGACTGCGACAGGCACGGTCCAGTAAAAAGCATCAAATGGACGGAAGTTCAAGAACATAAGAGTAATTCCAAGACATCTTCCCGGCAAAGCCTCTGAGCTGGCCCAGCAGAAGCTCTCCGCCGCCAAGTACAGATATGGGTATTTGGATGCAGACAGATCAAGCTGCAATCGCTGAAAGCGTCGTTCCAGTCTCCACGTGCGAATGTGGCATGGCGTTCTAGAGGAGATCGACGACCACGTCTGACGTGGTCATGAATGGGCTGACCAAGCATTCCCTAGCTCACATATCCATTCGATGCTCTTGTTGTGAGTATGCCATGTGGGTCCAGGGTTTCGTCTGGCCGGTTTATCCGCGCTTTGTTTGACTCGTGGTCCCCTCGTCTCCTGGTCGCCTGGCTTTTGATTTGCCCACCTGTGGGGCCTTCTTTTGCAGCACGCTATTTGGAAATGACAATTTATTTTGCGAGGGTTCCTTCTGCATCAAGCCCTTCAGGAATTCCGCTTTGCAGACCTTCGTCTTTACCGAGCCCAGGAATTTCAATTTGCAGGGCTTCGTTTCGTCAAGCTACTGGGGCATGACGATGTGCAAGGCTTCGTATTGCGCCAAGCTGTTCGGGAATGCAAATCGAAATTGCCGAATAGCTTGGCACAAAAGGAAGCCTTGCCAATTGTAATTCCCGGAAGCTTGATGAACGAAGTCCTGCGTAATTCCCCAACATATTGAGCAAAACGAGGCCAGCATATTGCAGTTCACCTACTGTTTGAATCAACACGTTGCAAATCGAAATCCCCAGATAATTCGCGCAAAACGAAGGCGTGCAAGTGGGAGTTCCAGAGCTTGACGCAGAAGTGCAAGTTATCATTCTCCAATGGCTGCGGCAGAAGAACAATGCTCCGCCCTGTGTTAGGTACTAGATGGTACTAGTACGGCGGCTAGTGCGGTTGCATTTTGATGTTGAAGTGTCATCGTGCATCCATGGGATACTTTGTGTTAGACACACTGCATGTACTGCCTTATGGTTGCCGCGATAGAACCCTGAGCGGTTGAGTCCCGCTCACTAGTCGTGATGCCATGCCGGATCTGGGCTGCTGTTGAACCACGCTGCGTAGCGGGTTGTTTGCCTGATGGTCGGGGGTGGGGTTTGTCCAGCGAATGTCTCCACCGTAGGTGGTATGAGAGCCTGAGGTCACACGATATTCTCAGGCGCGATGTGACGTTTGTGTTTGGTGGCGTTGAAAGAGCAGCCTCGGGGCGTCACCTCGCCCGGGCTTGTTGCAGTCATTTGTTGATAGTAGTTGTCAACACAGCAGCAGCACAAATGGACATGGAAGCGGTTCTCTTGACAACGATCTTTAGTTCATCAACCTAGTCATCCTAAGCATGCTCCTATTATTCATGTGATGTGGCACTAATAATGCACTAATCGCATATATGATCAAAAACGGCAACGACTTTGGTGTCACGAAACTGTAGCCTGAGATCAGGGAAACCAGGGCCATGAGCGCGAGGGTCTCACAGAAATAATTTTGCACCAGCGCATGTTTACCTCACATCCCATGTTCAAGCCGTGGAGCTGAACGCAGCGCCTCGATCTGTCCACCACGTTATGCGGCTGCGCCCCGCATTTCTTAGCACCTTGAAGCACGCGTGCCTGTATCCATGCCATTCCCTGGCCTTGCAAAAGAGCATTCGGTCCCCAGGCGTCCATTGTTCACTTCGGAACAATGGTCAGGGAGGGGATGAATGATTTAAGTGTAGCGTTGACACCAGCCAGTTGTCATGTCGGTGCTGTCTGCTGGATGATGCTTTCAAACCGGCTCGCACGAACGTGGGAAAAAATGTGAACAATCTGTTTCAGTCTTCGCAGCAAACTCGTCGCACAATTCTGCAATTGTCCTCGTCATTTAGCAAGCCTCTTGATATCCTCTTGATGCTCTTCTGCATTGTTTGAAATTCCATGCTTTCTATTGCTGAGATCTGAGACTTGTCTGGGAGCTGCTGTTGCTCTGGCATGACAAATTAGTCGTGCGGCGCTTTCCAGGCTGTGGCCAAATTGAAGCGGCAACTCGCCGACGAGCAGGTTGGAGATTGTAACGCATACACTGGTCGTTAAGCGGCTGCAGACTTTCAGTACGGAGCAAGGAAGTGAGAAGGAGCAGGATGTGTGTATGTAAAGAATGTATTTGCGGTGGTTCTTCAGACCTTGCGAGCGTAGCTGCTGAGATCCTCCCGAAGCCTCCACGGGTTTGTGGATTTCCGGGCCCAACCAAGAGTCCTAGAGACATGGGAGGCGACAGGTTTCTATGCAGTAGCGCAATGAGTAGTTCTTCAAGCGTTTTTGCACTGCCACGTACAGGCAAAGGCTACGAGGCGAGAAGAGCAGGCGCACAGCTCTAGTTGCCCTTCCATTCCGGTCCTGGCTCCATGGGTTGTCCCCGGGTTGAAGCTGGATTCCCTTGGATTGCTGCCGTATCCGGTCAAGGGTGGTCGGGGGCGATGATGTCGTAGCCGGAACGGCAGTCTGTGGCGACTTTCAGCACATCGCATCCGCAAGTGCGAGAATATTGTACTGAAGCGAATCGAGGCGAAGAAACAGCCGCTGTGAATTGGTTTATCGTGCTTGCAGGTCTCATCTGCGTTGGCAGCGGCAATTTCGTCCTTGAGGTCGAATCGACCGCAGGCCGCAGAGGAAACCTGTATTCATGTATTCACCAGGTCGCCCCGATATTCAGCTTCAACATCTGATGCGTCTCGAAACTGGCGAAATACTTCGAACCGCATTTCTTCTGTGCTGATCTTTCTTTCGTGGAAGATTTGCAAAAGCTGAGAAGTCTTGAGTTGCCTGCAGCAGATGTCAATTGTACTGTGGCGCTCGAACCGTGAGACACACACGAATCACACGACTTGTGCAGGCCATTGCCTCCTGCGAGCGCCTGGAAGAAGAGCCCCCCTGCGGCTTTGAATTTGCGATGTCTTCTGAGTTGTCGGGGTACAGCACGAACAGATACCGACAATGGGGCAAGGGGCAAGGTGAGACTCCGGACTCTGTCGGCTGGGGCGAGGTTGCAACAGTCCAGCGCTCTGCTCTGAAGTTAGAGCAGCCCAGGATGCCACATCTCTGTTGTTTGGACCACCTTGACGGATGCTTTTAGCAGCCTACATAATGCTGGAGCTAGGCAGCTACACGTAGAGTACGGGATCGTCCTAACGTCCTAACCATCGCTTCTGTTCGGGGTCCTGCTATTCATTCTTTTTACTAGCTAACTAGCGCGCGTCGAGTCTGCGCTCAACTCTTTCCCCGTGTTTTCAACCTGTACTCTGCTTTGCAAACTCCAGCACGCAACACATATACTGATTGCTTGTAACTAATGCGGATAGAAGCAGGTTGCCATGGCTCCGGTGAACAGTCGCATGTGAGTGGGTTATTCCGCAGCCAGGAATGTTTCGCTGAAGCATCGCATCCCAGAGCTGGACTGGATGGATGCGCAATCTATCGGGAGAAGCTGTACACCAGTGGACGTCTTGAACTAATTGCTGAAATTTCGGTGTCATCAAGAAACAAGCATTTTCTTCGGGGTGGACCATGCACCGTTCAAGCATACAAGTTCTCGAGTGTGCTGCGTCAAGTTGCTGATGAACCTCACAGCCCACGACTTTGTATGTTGATGCGAGGATTTCAAACCGTGGGTGTGTTGCAAGAAGCGAAGCTACTGAAGCACTGCAGGATGTACAACTGGAGCGCGAGCGTGGGAAGAGCGAAACGATGGAGGAAGCCATGAAGGAGCTCGAGATGCAGGCCTCGAGATTGCGGTTGGTCGCAAGGAGTCGCCCGATGAAGCGTTGAAGCTTCGGTCGGAATTGAAGGACTTTGTGCCCCTGCCCAATTCAGCCCCATCGTTAGACCCCACGAGCAGCAGTTGTCGTCGTCTTCATGGTCGCCGCAATGGTCTTCGTCGTGCTCCTTGTGGTCGTCGACGCAGTCGTCGTCCTCCCCATAGAAGGCACCGTAGCCGTCGTCCTCGCAGTAGCAGTCGTTGTCGTCGTCGTAGCTTGCCGTCGTCGAGGACGACTACGACGGCTGGACGACCACGAGCAGTAGCAGAAGTTGAAGTTGAACTACCAGTAGCGGCAGTATCAGTTCTACCCCCAGCACTAGCGCATACTAGCGCTAGTAGCAGTAGCAGTAGCAGTAGTAGTAGTCGTCGTCGTAGTAGCAGTAGCAGCATAATAGTAGTACAGTTAGCGTCCTCAGTCGCATCGATTTCATGTGGATCTTGTAGACATTGGGGGGAAGGGTCCGAGGAGGGTCGCATCGACGCTGAAATCCACGCAAGTCATCCTGCGAAGACATATCGGAACCCTCGACCCTTGAGAGGTTGCTTCTTGCCGGAAAGCCATGTTTGCTTGGTTCCAATCACTAGGCACTAGGTGATTGGGACATCAACCGGAACCCTCAACTCCCAAACCCAACGCTCAACAGTAGCAGTAGCAGCGGCAGTGGTGGTAGTCGTAGTAGTAGTCGGGGTGATAATTAGTAATGGGCGTTGGCTTCCAAACCACCAATATGTGCTTTGTACTCATCTTGGCGGCGGCGTGTACTTGTTAGTGAAATAATTTGTAGATGGTGTCCCTGCCCGATGGCGCCCAAAAAAGCGCTCACCGATGCGACGATCAAAAGCTTGTCATGGGCTAGTCTTCGTTGGGCTTCGGGACACATATGAAGGGTCCGGCTGCCGTGCGGCTTACGCGGACCTCTTACGCGGATGCACCATTATACAACAGATAATTTGGTGGTAGCAGTAGTATTAATAGTACGTAGTAGTCGTCGTAGTAGTAGCAGTAGTACGGTTGATGATATAAATCCTGCATTACCCATAATAAGGAATATACCATAATTCCCATAGTTTAGGGTCCTTAAGGTAATGGAGGATTTATATCATCCACCGTAGTAGTAGTAGTAGTAGTAGTAGTAGTAGTAGTAGTAGTAGTAGCCATGCGCGCCCCCAGGCGCCTGGTGTTAACCTCTGTTTTGTCTGCGTTTTTGGGCGTTTTGCCAGGGTGCCGAGGGTTTAATTACGACATGGATGACTGCAAGCAGTAACGCAGTAGCGCCGGCTGCAGTAGCAGTGGCAGCAGCAGTAGTAGCAGCGCCTCTGCAAACACAAAACCTCGAAAAACCCGATGCGCGCCCCACCCAACCATCATCCTCGCCATCTTCAACATCATCGTTAACCTGACCATCTTCATCATCATCCTCAGAATCATCATCCTTATCATCATCATATAAACCCAAGTAAGTAGTGTTTTGAAGTTGGCTTAACTACAATTGCAATTTACACCAAGTAGTAGTAGTAGTAGTAGTAGTAGTAGTAGTAGTAGTAGTAGTAGTAGTAGTAGCAGGAGTAGTAGTGGTAGTAGTAGTAGTAGTAGGAGTAGGAGTAGGAGTAGGAGTAGTAGTAGTAGAAGTAGTAGTAGTAGTAGTAGTAGTAGTAGTAGTAGTAGTAGTAGTAGTAGTAGTAGTAGTAGTAGTAGTAGTAGTAGTAGTTCTCGTAGTAGTAGTCGTCGTCGTCGTAGTAGTAGAGTCGTCGTAGTAGTAGTAGTAGTAGTAGTAGTAGTAGTAGTAGTAGTAGCAGTAGAAGAGTGTTGGTGGTAGTGGTAGTGGTGGTAGTAGCAGTAGTAGTAGTAGCAGTAGTAGTAGTAGTACTAGTAGTAGTAGTAGTAGTGGTAGTACTCCTACTCCCATTCCTACTCCGCTACTACTACTACCACTACCACTACCGCTACAACAGCAACTACTACTATTATTACTACTACTACTACTGCTGCTGCTGCTACTGCTACTACTACTACTACTACTACTACTACTACTACTACTACTACTACTACTACTACTACTACTAGAACTACTAGAACTACTAGAACTACTAGAACTACTAGAACTACTAGAACTACTAGAACTACTAGAACTACTAGAACTACTACTACTACTACTACTACTACTACTACTACTACTACTACTACTACTGCTACTGCTACTGCTACTGCTACTACTACTACTACTACTGCTACTACTACTACTACTACTACTACTACTACTACTACTACTACTACTACTACTACTACTACTATTCAGGTGAGCTCGTGAGTTCAAACCCGCTTTTCGGAAGGCACTACAGCATAGGTGTAGAACATGTGGCTCGTGAGTTCAAAACCGCTTTTCGGAAGGCACTACAGCATAGGTGTAGAACATGTGGAGTGCAAGCTCTTCAGTTTGTCCTTACTTTTGGGGGCTCTTTATTGCTTCTTACGGAGACGTTCGGGGTGCACTCGGAGCACAATGCAGTCTTGCGGCAGGTTGCATCACTTTCCCGCAAATGCCAATTGGCCGAAGAGGACGGTGCATTCGACCGCCAATCATCACTAGTTACGTTTGGTCATTGTTCGGTGCAACGTGAGAAGCCTTTTACAGTGCTGTGTCAAGCATTTGTGCGGACATGTATCCATGTGGTCTTGGCATCCGCGCAGAATCATGCTCTTCATACTTCTCGGAAGCCCACAGCCAAGCCAATGCATCTGTTCTGTTAGTACGTCAAAGGCTAGCACAGCTTAAGTTACACGTTAGTGCAAAGTGCCACCCAGCAGGATGCCGCACGAAGCGAGAGCATGCGGAGCCAAGATGCTCAACGCCAGGAGGATGGGTATCTGTGTACATTTGTTGACATTTTATATGGGGTGTATATAACTATATATATATGTGTATATATATATATGTGCATATAAGGCATGGTCTTCACACGAGTCAGTTGTTGCGAAGTTGGAGCTCGGTGCCATAGTCAGTTCAGGGAGCGGGCCAACCACTCGAAGGGGATATTGTTTTCGAGGCACGGAGTGTCCTAGCCTTCAAAAAAGTCCCTGGTGGCGGACAATGTAGGGCCTCCGAAGTTCGGCCTTCGTGAAGCTTTGCGCCTGGAGTGAAGAGGACAAAGCCGGGGATCGGAATCTTACAAGGTGACATCTAGGGCTATGCCACTAACTACTCGCCCCCTGAGGAGGTTTCAGAGGCTGTGCACTTGCACACGGCCTCGTTGCAGATGGAAATACAGCTTGCACGAGAAGAGGTGCGAAGCCCACAGGATTTGCGCCGATTTGGTAGTGGCCTTGCCTTGATGAGATGAGACGTATGGGCTGAAGTTCACTCAGCGCTGTGCTGTGAATCGCAAACGAGCTCTGCGATGGCAACCAAACATGTGCAAGGCTGCAGTCCTGGCACCATTCGCAGACGAGTATAGTATAGAGAAGAAGTGCGTACATCCTTTTGCCAGTAGGTTGGAGCTTGCTTCCCCATGATTCGTGTACTTCGGCCAGCTTGTGTGGTGAGGCCTTGTCACTGTCCCGCAGACGCGACGAGCTGGAGAAGACCTGGCAGCAGGCCTGCTGTAAGTAGCAATGGCAACAGGGTGAACTGTCGAGCGAAGATCGCAACTTGGTGGACCACAGCGCGGGTGCGGCACGTCATGAACATCGACGACGAGGGTCCCCAAGCGGACTCCGCAACAGAATTATGGGATGAAAGGACCAGGAGCATGGATAACAATGAGCCAAGCAGCAAGGCTTTTTTGTGTGAGGCACGTGCAGCGCTGCTGTGTGTGTTTGGGTGTGCTTGTGTGTGGGTGCAGGGGGGGCGTTGTAGGCGCAGGGCTTGGCTCAAAGGGCGTCATCCCAAGACGAAGCCAAAACAGAGAAACTGTCCAGCTTACACTTGTCGAAGAGTATAACATTACACATTGTGCATAGGAGGGAGAGACGTGAAGCATTGTAGACCCTATTCGTATCGGAAAGCATCCGAGCATCGCACCTGAGCAATCTGAAGGCTGCGGTTCATAAGATAGCCCGGATCCAATGCAATCGAGCACCTGTGGAAACATGAAGCTTTGAAAACGGAGTGGTCTTGTCGCAACACGTGGAAAGACAAGGCAATGCCGTGTAGGCGAAATCCAGACAAGACCATGCTTGTCCCACCTACACATCATGCACACTGATGCATCGAAGCAAGCTCAGCGCAGGACGTCCATCGGCTGCAGCTGCAAGCTGAGGCAGCAGAGTCTTGCATTTGCGCAATGCTGTGTAAAGACTCGTGCAAGTCGGGTGATCCTGGGGTGATCAACAAACGATACAAACGTGTTGATGGCTTAGCTTGGCTAGGCTTGGCACCGAAGAAGAAGTCCAATAGACAGTCCTGTGACTGCAGGCATTCCGACAAGAGAATATGGGTGTCAGACAGTGGGACGAGGCCAGGCATGCTTGGGGAAGATATTACAAGTTTGAGTAGCAAATTTAAGATTAGCTGCGAAGGTGCAACACGGCAAACAAGGCCACAACTTGAATCTGCCTGGCCTGTTCTGTCTGTCTCGCTTGCTCTGGTCTCCTGCGGAGGCAGGATCGGGATACTGTACTTCTTGGCAAACTGTTGGCAAGTTCACCACGGTCACAAGTTGTCTGCGCAGCAGTTCAAGCTAAAAGTTTGTGCCCGTGAGGCGGCCTGGTCGTTTAGTTTATGGTCTTGTGTGTCGTCCCAGGTTTGAGCAGCGAGATATGCGTCGAACTAAGGCAGAGCGCCGGCTCCTTGATGAACAGCATCGCTGCCTGGAGCTGACTGAGAACTTAAAACGACTGCAGCAGGAGGCGGGCTTCTGCTAGAGTGCGCGAATTGCGAGGACTTTCAGAGAGATCCATGCGCACTCTCCAGGGCCGCGAAGAACTTGCCGCCGAGCGTCGACGAATGCAAACGCTGCGGGAAGAGCATAGCCAGGCAGGCGCACCAACATGTTTGGAGGGGGTGGGGGCGCTGGGGCGATCTGCAACAAGTAGCCGATGCCATGCCGACACCAGCTTCACAAACGGCGCGAAGCATTGCAGGCAGCCCAGGCAGTCGCAGCGGAAAGGGAGACCTCCAAACATCTTGCACAGCAGCTGCAGCGCTACGAGCAGGCGCCAATCGAAGTCTGGAGCTGTTGCAGACGTCAGACGTGATTCGAAGCAGGAGAAAGGCACTAGGAATGGCCACGCGGAGGACGGCCTCAGGCTTCTTGGATCAAGAGGATCCTGCAGTCCTGAAGCTGAGATTTCTCAGTCCCAGGCTCCTCCGAAGCTTCGAGGCATGGTGTCATTTAGCAACGCCGGCTTCGTAGTCTGCGACGGCTCTGCACTATCCTGTCACAGGCTTGGCATCGGAGGACCTTGCAGACCATGCGCGAGCCGTGGCCACAGTGCCACGGTGATCATCAGGGTTGTCGAGGAATCAAGTTGAGAGCGTGCCTTGCCTAGGCGAAGGCTCGATGTGGACCAAGCGAAATCTCAGGCAAAAGATGGCTTCTCAAGTCGTAGCAGAGGCGTTAAAAAGGCCTGCTGCACACATTTGCAGGAGCTTCATGAGGCTGGTCGCAAGCTGGCCGTTCAGGAGGGCAAGGCGGGTCGACATGGACCATGCAGCAACGCAGACGCATGAGGTCGGTTCTTTAATTCCAACGCTACGCGGCCCGCCTCGGCTGGCGGCTCCAGTAGTGCCGAAGGACAGGAAGGAGGGGTGGGAGATGGAAAGCAGCGGGAAGATGGAAAAGTGGCAAAAGATCGAGAAAGCGAAGAAGGAAGTGGGGCAGAAGGAGGGGGAGAAAGGGCAAGGAGGGGGGGCTTGGGGGAAGAAAGCAGTGGGAAGGTGGAAAAAGGAGGAAAGGGAGAAAGGTAGGGGACGGGGGCGGGGGGTAGCGGGGGGGGGGGAAGGGGCAGAATCAGCAACAAATTGAGGGGGGAAAGGGGGAGATGGGAAATTGTGAAAATCACGGGTGACAAGACGGAAGCCGGGCAAGGGGGTCGAAAACAGGCGCTGAAACGGGTGGCAGTTTGTGTTTGGCGTGTTACTAAGTATAAACCAGCAAAACGCCAGAGGCCTTTGCCCTCGGCGGATAAGTCGCCTCTTGTGTGCCGACCTTGTGCCCACTTTACTTTCGGCTGATCGCAACGGCTTGGCAAGGTCAAGGCAGCCTTCGGCAGGGCCACGACAGCTGAGAGCGATTTTGCCTCAGAGATGTTCCGAGCCCAGCTTCTGCTAAAGGCTGCTGAGGTGGCAGAGCAATCAGCCGTCTTGCGTTCCTTGCAAAGGCATAGTGTTGTACAAGTACCTGCAGATACCTGCAGCGATGGTGCGCTGCGACCAAATCTAGCTTGGCGAGGGAGCGAGTCTGAGCCAAGAAAAGAGCTAAGGAAAGTGAACAACATGAGGGGTAGAACAAAAACCAGACGATAGTGGACCCATTTGTACGACCTTCGAAGAAAGTAGAGCCAGCCAATGATGCCGCGGGTCTGGGCAGGGTCTGCTCGGGTGGCTTGGCCGATGACGAAAGCGTGGCTTCAGCAATTGGCACTAGGCACTGGAGACGGTCTGAAATGAGCCCGGAGGCTGTTCGGTGAAGGCCAACACCTCTACCCAGCAGTAAGCGTCTGCCGTTGTTAAGTTGTTGTGCATCTGTGAAACCGAAGCAGGATTGCCTAAAGCGCAGGCAAAGCAGCAACCCAAGCAAGCAGACATGGAATACCAACTGTTTGCGAGGCCCAGCCTTTGTGAATCGAACAGGGAATTTCGAATTCGTGACCCCGTGAATTAACGCGTCAATGCCGAGCTGCCGCCTGGTGCAGCTTGAGGTTCACCTGCCAGAAGCTGCAGCAGGCTCACGTGATTTCGGCATTTCGGCGCATGACTAGTCGCTGGTGGCTTGCTCGGCGCGCCGTGAAGTTGCAGGAGCTCCGAGATCTGCGGCACGAGCTTGACTCGGAGGTGAGAGACAGCGCTGGGAAGTCTGTCGTAAGCCCACTTGCGACCACACCTCCTAGTGCAGGCGATCATCCATCGGTCCAAAGCAGCGGCGCAGGAAGCGCTCCTGGCAGCTGAAAGGACAGCAACCATCGTTCAGAAAGCAGGGCTGCATTGTGCGGTGCAGAGCTGCTTGCATCAGGACAGAGCGGCAGAAGTTGGAGGACGGGAGGGAACTCCTTGACAAAGGCACTCTGAGGGATCCGCATGCTGCTTGCGCAGTATGTCCTCACCAACTGCGCGATACTGCGCGGCCGGTTAATGATTTTGCGTTTGAGTTTTTGAATGTCCGACCGCTCGTGCGATGCGGACGTGTTAAATTTAAACCCTTCAACACACTTCGGCCTCGATGGGCATGCGAGTGTTCGCACGATTGATTTTCATTGCAACGGTGTCAGACTGAACGCCAGCTTTCGCACAGTTGACTAATGCACTACTGCAAAGCACGCGCGGTTTGTTCATTTTCTCTCAGTCGCAAGACTGGTTAAGTTGGGGCAGCGCGGACGGAAAATGACCTGTCGGACCGGCCCATGCTCGGCACGGCACGGGTGGTCCATTTCGAGATGACGGAAGGCACGCACCACCCCCCATCAACTCAAGGGCGAGCGGGCGGGGCAAATTCAAGAAGGACACACCACGAAAAGTGTCCGGCACACAGGCAACCGCTAGAGAATTCTCGAACACCTGCAGGCCCTCACATCATGGACACGCGACTCGCATCAATCACTAACAGTGCAACACGTCATGACACGCAGCTGCCGACGCAAAACCACAAGCGCACTCAGGCTTAATAGGTTTTATTTTCAGTCCGGACAGCGGGCAATAAAGCGACGTCAACAAGTTGAAGTAGGCGTTCGGTTTGAGACTGGCATACCCCAGGTTGCGATCGCAGCCATGGATAGCATGCGACTACTCGGCTGCTCAGTGAGTGTCCGAACGTTATCGACCGGTCGGCACTGGTGTGCACATATATATATATATACATACATACATACATATATACATACACACACACACACGCACCTCTGAACAGATAGGTTACTTAGATTCTGTTGTATGTGTGTTCCTGTGGGCAGTTCGAAGCTGTGATCGCAGGGTGCAGCCATGAATGACAAGAAACATAATATGAGAAAATCGATGGAGCCGTACTAGGCGCTTGAACATAAGGGTTTTGCCGACCTTTTTTGCTGAAGTCGTGAATTATTGCATGTACTGGCTTTGCCCCTCAAGCAGACATCGTGGTGGTGTTTGGCGGCAGTTTTGCATTACCAGGGAAGCTTTTTCGCGGGCCTATCATGTCTCTATGACTTGAAGTCAATATGTTGTTGAACCGGCCAACGATGCGAGAGACTCAGGACTCCCTGCCGATGCGTGATAGCTTGCACTGCACGACAGCAGGTCTGCAGAAATGCCGGAATCAAATTCGGACCCAACCCCTCGGAAATGAAAACTGAGATTAACTGCTCCAAGGGTTCAACCGTTGCTCATTTGGCCCTCCCGGATGGCTACCTGAGTGTTTTGGTTTCGGACTTCGTGTTTTGCGGTGTCCAAAAGACAAAGAGGGGATTTTACGAATGCGAGTTCGTGTTTCAAACTGATGTCAGATGGGCTTTCCAGTTTCAGGAAACGGGTCGAACTTTTGCGGTCATAGCATAGCAACGCTCATCGCCAAAACACCCGTGGGGAGCGACGTGACTTGTTTGCCCACCCTGTGTGCTTTGCCATTATTGCCTCTTCGGCGTCCTTGGCGAGTTGCCCCCTACCGGACGTTGGACATCGGGATGTCTCTCCGGGAATTGGCCAGAACGAGCCAGATGTTGACGACAACACTGTGGACTATGCAGAGCACGGGACAGCGCTGTCAGCAGTCCGTGTACCCCCGTGGCAGTTGCTCGCAGTGGCCTTGGCCATGGCTTACGGCTTACACTGGGCTTTGCACTTTATGTGTGCACGACACGTGTGACGCAGCCGACCATATCCTTTTACTTCAGCTTGATTTCATGAGCCAAAGTCTTGCAGGGGGTGCTGCTGCAGACATCCGCCCGGAGCCGTCTCGTCCGCACAGCTCCTCCAGTCCATAATTGGGCAGCCTACAACCCCACAAGTGTTGGTAGAACATCTTCTGCCGAGACGGGGGTCTTGAAGCACATCTTTGACCTCGTTTCGCCCGCAACTGCGGGAAAATTTATCAGCGTGTCTTTTTTCGTTTGCAGCAGGGTTGTTCGCTTCAGCAATGGAGGGGTTTCGCAAGCTGCGAACGTCGGTGAGACAAGATTCACAAGACATAAGACACAGTGCATAAGTGCAAATAGGTTTCGTTGGAAGACCAGGAGCGCCGACTCCTTGACGAACAGCGTTGCTTGGAGCTGTCCGAGGACGTCAAGTGTGTTCAGCGCGAGGTGGGAATTGGTCAAAGTACGGAATCAAGACAGTTCATGCCCACTCAGGGCCGCGAAGAACTTGCCGCCGAGCGTCGACGAATGCAAACGCTGCGGGAAGAGCATAGCCAGGCAGGCGCACCAACATGTTTGGAGGGGGTGGGGGCGCTGGGGCGATCTGCAACAAGTAGCCGATGCCATGCCGACACCAGCTTCACAAACGGCGCGAAGCATTGCAGGCAGCCCAGGCAGTCGCAGCGGAAAGGGAGACCTCCAAACATCTTGCACAGCAGCTGCAGCGCTACGAGCAGGCGCCAATCGAAGTCTGGAGCTGTTGCAGACGTCAGACGTGATTCGAAGCAGGAGAAAGGCACTAGGAATGGCCACGCGGAGGACGGCCTCAGGCTTCTTGGATCAAGAGGATCCTGCAGTCCTGAAGCTGAGATTTCTCAGTCCCAGGCTCCTCCGAAGCTTCGAGGCATGGTGTCATTTAGCAACGCCGGCTTCGTAGTCTGCGACGGCTCTGCACTATCCTGTCACAGGCTTGGCATCGGAGGACCTTGCAGACCATGCGCGAGCCGTGGCCACAGTGCCACGGTGATCATCAGGGTTGTCGAGGAATCAAGTTGAGAGCGTGCCTTGCCTAGGCGAAGGCTCGATGTGGACCAAGCGAAATCTCAGGCAAAAGATGGCTTCTCAAGTCGTAGCAGAGGCGTTAAAAAGGCCTGCTGCACACATTTGCAGGAGCTTCATGAGGCTGGTCGCAAGCTGGCCGTTCAGGAGGGCAAGGCGGGTCGACATGGACCATGCAGCAACGCAGACGCATGAGGTCGGTTCTTTAATTCCAACGCTACGCGGCCCGCCTCGGCTGGCGGCTCCAGTAGTGCCGAAGGACAGGAAGGAGGGGTGGGAGATGGAAAGCAGCGGGAAGATTGAAAAGTGGCAAAAGATGGAGAAAGCGAAGAAGGAAGTGGGGCAGAAGGAGGGGGAGAAAGGGCAAGGAGGGGGGGCTTGGGGGAAGAAAGCAGTGGGAAGGTGGAAAAAGGAGGAAAGGGAGAAAGGTAGGGGACGGGGGCGGGGGGTAGCGGGGGGGGGGGAAGGGGCAGAATCAGCAACAAATTGAGGGGGGAAAGGGGGAGATGGGAAATTGTGAAAATCACGGGTGACAAGACGGAAGCCGGGCAAGGGGGTCGAAAACAGGCGCTGAAACGGGTGGCAGTTTGTGTTTGGCGTGTTACTAAGTATAAACCAGCAAAACGCCAGAGGCCTTTGCCCTCGGCGGATAAGTCGCCTCTTGTGTGCCGACCTTGTGCCCACTTTACTTTCGGCTGATCGCAACGGCTTGGCAAGGTCAAGGCAGCCTTCGGCAGGGCCACGACAGCTGAGAGCGATTTTGCCTCAGAGATGTTCCGAGCCCAGCTTCTGCTAAAGGCTGCTGAGGTGGCAGAGCAATCAGCCGTCTTGCGTTCCTTGCAAAGGCATAGTGTTGTACAAGTACCTGCAGATACCTGCAGCGATGGTGCGCTGCGACCAAATCTAGCTTGGCGAGGGAGCGAGTCTGAGCCAAGAAAAGAGCTAAGGAAAGTGAACAACATGAGGGGTAGAACAAAAACCAGACGATAGTGGACCCATTTGTACGACCTTCGAAGAAAGTAGAGCCAGCCAATGATGCCGCGGGTCTGGGCAGGGTCTGCTCGGGTGGCTTGGCCGATGACGAAGGCGTGGCTTCAGCAATTGGCACTAGGCACTGGAGACGGTCTGAAATGAGCCCGGAGGCTGTTCGGTGAAGGCCAACACCTCTACCCAGCAGTAAGCGTCTGCCGTTGTTAAGTTGTTGTGCATCTGTGAAACCGAAGCAGGATTGCCTAAAGCGCAGGCAAAGCAGCAACCCAAGCAAGCAGACATGGAATACCAACTGTTTGCGAGGCCCAGCCTTTGTGAATCGAACAGGGAATTTCGAATTCGTGACCCCGTGAATTAACGCGTCAATGCCGAGCTGCCGCCTGGTGCAGCTTGAGGTTCACCTGCCAGAAGCTGCAGCAGGCTCACGTGATTTCGGCATTTCGGCGCATGACTAGTCGCTGGTGGCTTGCTCGGCGCGCCGTGAAGTTGCAGGAGCTCCGAGATCTGCGGCACGAGCTTGACTCGGAGGTGAGAGACAGCGCTGGGAAGTCTGTCGTAAGCCCACTTGCGACCACACCTCCTAGTGCAGGCGATCATCCATCGGTCCAAAGCAGCGGCGCAGGAAGTGCTCCTGGCAGCTGAAAGGACAGGGCATCCGATGTGTGCCACTTTCTTTCGATGTCCAGCTCCTTTGAGCAAACATGCCCGTGCAACAATCCTATCGTAGCAGTCAGACAGCAGGGATGCGCTGTTCGGTGCAGAACTGCTTGCATCAGGACAGAGCGGCAGAAGTTGGAGGACAGGAAGAAAGCATATCATTCCGAAAAGGCCAAGAGCCGATTCAATCCACAACGCCCAATCATGATCATGCTCCTCCACCTGCTACTTGTTTCTGTTGTATGTATGAAGGTATAAGCAGTTCGAGGCCTTGATCGGCCGGTTTATGGAGGTTACTGCCGAGTGTCCTTGCAGCCATGCATGACAGGCAACAGAATATGAAAAATCGATGGAGCCATGCTAGGCGCTTGAACATAAGCAGGTGTTGCCGACCCTTTGGCCAATGATGTATGTCAAGAGGAGCAGCTGGTGGTTGTGCGCTGCAAGAGCGAAGAGACTCAGGACTCCCTGCCGATGCGTGATATCTTGCACTGCACGACAGCAGGTCTGCAGAATGCCGGAATCAAATTCGGACCCAGCCCCTCCGAAATGAAAACTCAGATTAACTGCTCCGAGGGTTCAACCTGCCCTCCCGGATGGCTACCTGAGTTTTTTGGTTTCGGACTTCGTATTTTTGTGAATCCAAAGACAAATATGGGATTTTGCGAATTCGAGTTCGTGCGTCAAAGTGGTGTCAGATGGGCTTTGCAGTTTCAGGAAACGGGTCGAACTTTTGCAAGGTACTCTGGAGTGCGCGCTTATGTGCACAGCCGTTTTCAACGTTGGAGATGGGGATCGTTCGCCATGCGGTGGGGAGTGTAGGGTTTGGCGTGCGCTGCGTGGTAGCAGATGTCAATTGACAGGAAGCTTGCGCTGCACGGGAGGCGCTGCGTTGTGCCGAGGCTGTCTTGCATAAACTTATCACGGTGGATCGGAAGAGGTGTCGGAGCTATGTCGCCCTGTAGCCTCCAACCGTTGAAGCAGGAATCCAACAAGTGTGATGTGCGAACGATTCTCCCACCTTGCTGTCTGACATGCTCCAGCAAATTCACAGCTTTTTTCATCGTCATCTGGCAGGTCCAAGCGCAGCTCTTTGCTCAGGCCTCTGCACTACCACCTGCAGATATGGGCGAGCCAGCAAAACTACTGTGCACATAGCCATCCGTCGCCCGTTGATGGACTTTTCGGAGCTCTTACTGTGTTGCATCTCTTCTCTGCACAGCCGGAAACTTTCCGAAAACACCCGGCGGTATCACATTCTCAACATTGCCAAGGTCAAGGGGATAGGACGGGAAGTGACTAGTGTTTTGATTCTGTCGTCTTGATATGACTTTGATCTGTCGAATATGCAGACACCCACAGATATAGTGGCAAAGGTTCGCAAGGGTGCAGGGGAGGAGATTGAAGCAAAAACCGCCGATGGACAAACCACCTCGGAGCGATGCTGTCGCGTCTCGTCCTGTATCGCAGTGTATTCTATTGTCTTTCGTTTTCGGCTGTTTCACTTGGTTGTTTGTGTATGCTATATGTTATGTGTTATGTCATGTCATGTTATGTTATCTGTGTATGTTGTGTATGCATAATATATCCACTCCATTCCGAACATTGAGAGGAGTTCGCTGCTTAATTAGACATGCAAAGTCCGTCCTTACGTCCAGTATACACTAGCCCATGCTTCGCAAAGGCTGAGCAGAAATCTGCGACTTCAGGACTTGAGTAACAAGAGCACGGGTTGCAATGATGCCCGGCATAAGGAGCCACAGATCAAAATCAGAACAACCGCGCCATTTCTTGCTTCAAAACTCATGTGGGGAGGAGACATGGAAGGGATTTAACCGGCCAAGCTCAAGTGTTGGAAAAGCCGTCACTTCCGCATCTTCCATCCTTCTAACAAACTGACAATCATCAGAGATCCCTTTATACACCATGAATCACCACGAATGCTTCAGGTATCTCGCATGCCGTTACATGCCTCGTGCTCTGCGGACCAGCAGCTCATCGCCAACGTTGCCAGGTGTAAGCCTGCACCCAGCTTTTAAAGGCCAGCGCCCGAAGGTTTCTCAAGGCGTGCGTCTTCAGCGCGTAGGCCGCCTCTCGGAGCACAAGCCCGCACGAAATGTTGCTCTGCTGGAGGCTGGCTGCCCATCTCCTGAAATAGCATGACCAACCCCACCAGTATAGCAGAACGCGAGCCACAACTCCGCCTGGATCACTGCAGGCTCGGCATCATTCGTGCCCAAAGCTTCTGACAGATGCCACTCCGCTGTCTGCCAGTGGCCCCTGCCCACCACCACCTCACTGGTGGGCCTTACAAACGCGAGGCCCATCGTACCCAAGGCTTCCTGTCCACTCACACAAGACGGCCTCATCTCATGGAGCAACATCTCTGCAGTCAGCACACATTCTACCATCACATTGAACGGACAGTGCTCTGCTACTTGCCACCCTTCGCGCCCGAAGAATCGGCGAGCAAGGTCTGTGAAGTCGTGCACTTCCCTGCCCCCTTGGACATCGTTCCGAATCTCAGGATCGACGGCAGGTTCGTGCCCCTTCGCCGGATCGCTTGTGTCGCTTCCCCGTGTCCAAGGTGTGATGAGGCCCGTGGCGGGTTCCAGTTCCCTTGGTTGGGACCGTGGGCTGTCAGGGCGACTGTGGTTCCGGATGGGTGGCATCCCGACGATGCTCGCACCAGGTTCTATGAGTGTGATGTCATGTTCACTGACGAAGAACTCACACTGCATGGTTCGGCCATCACCATGCGTGACATGCTCACTGCCACGATGGCGAGGGTTCTTTACATGGCAGAAATTAACACGCTGCATGATCTGCCGGGTGTTTCCCTGTCCTCAGTTTTGGATACGTGGAGGCAGTGGCAGCAAGGCCAGCGCATCTGGCGCGACCCGTCGGTTGGAACAGATGAGGTACCCAGCGCAATGGAGGCTCTCTTGGACCCCAATGTCCGTCATCGCCGGGCACTTATCTTTTGGTTGTTTCATGCAGGCAACCCGGAACACGACCCCGGCTGCCTTCGCGTTATGTGCTTGCACTGCGGTAACCCCTTGCCTCGACGCACACGGTGGCAGACTGCTGAGTGTAGGCAGTGCCGCCGCCTCTTGGCCAGGATTCGTGGAGCAGTCGCCGGGGACGCGGTTTCGGTGTCTTCCTCTTCCAGTTGAAGGGCGTTTGGCGGGAGAGTCGGCGGCTGGGCGTGTTACGCTTGGCTGCCGTCTCGTGGCTCCCGGCCAGGTGGCAGCTCCTTCTTCTTTGCCGCGGGACAACCGTCGTTGGGGCACGCCAGGCGCCGGGCCTGAGGGACAGGCTCTCGGTGCGACCCCGAGGGTTGGGCGAGGTACGCCCGGCCTTGGGGGAGAGGCAGGCGCTCCCTGGCGACCATTATAAGCAGACTGAGTTTGAGCAGCAGGCGGTACCCTTGCATTATGAGCTCATTTCGGCTGCCAGGTCATGGTGTCGTCTCCCCCCTCGTCGTGGCTCGCTTTGCGAGGTCGACTCTTCCTTGAGGACTGGGGGGCTCCGTGACAGATGCAGGTTTGTTGCTTCGGAGCGCTGTGATTCAAGGTGTTCCGGTTCCTCCTTTAGATTTGGGCTCCAGCTTTGGGCTGTGGGGCTCGCTTTGGCAATCATGCTCGGGAACCTGGGCGTCTATGCAGCCGAGTCGCTATCTGCGGCGTCGGCGCCAGAGAGCGCATACACAGCTATGGGGGAGATGTCTCGGCAGCGTGCCGGCAGTGGCGGGAGCAGCATGGACTCCTGAACGACTCCGACTTTGCCTTCACGTTCCAGAGCTACGAAGAGGCTATGGCACAAGCTGGAACCCTGGTGGAAGAGTGGGCCGGGCCGCTTCTTCTTCGGGTCTCTATGGGGCAGTGGCTTCTGCCTTGGAGTCGGCGACGCCTTCGCCTCGGCCGGCCGTGAGACGGCCCTCCTCTTTCAGGTTGCGGGTGGCAGCCAAGGGCAGAGTGATTCGGAAGGCCCCGACAATGCCTAAACCTGAGGCTAGGCCATCCGACGACCACGTGGAAGCCCTGACGGAGGCACTTTATTGCCTCGGTTCCATGCGGCCAAGGGGCGACCTTACGGTCGGACTCGAGCGCGAGTGGCGCGCAGCCTTGCAGCGGAAGGCGGAGGGCAAAGCTAGGGACTCGGAGGCCGCCACGGTTCGGGGAGCCCTCCTTACCTTTTCGGAGCTCCAGATTCACATGACTGATCGTGGGCGCGCTTTCCCGCCGGATGGGGTCGATCTGGATGCTTTTCTGTATGGTGGGACGGCTGCACAATCCCGAGCGCTGGCGGGGCTACGCTGGCTGGTCAAGGCAGGCCAGTTGGATCACGACCTGTCGGCCTACGACTTCCGTGGCCAGCCCAACAGGGAGCCTAAGCAAGCAGCGTGGCTGAGCCACCCATGTTGGAGCTGCTGGAGACCAAGATCGAACAGCTTTACAACAGCAACAACCCTCAATGGCGAGCCTTGCTGGGCCTCTGGGCGTGCTGTTTTGGGGTGCTCCGGCTTACGCACGTGGCCCGGTCTTCCCCGCGTCGGCTCTCGCGCTCCACCTTCCACTTTCGCTGCTCCAAAGGGAAGCAGAAGGGGAACAGACAAGGCTTCGACTACGCGATCCCGAGCTACTTTATGTCGGGCTGGGATTGGTCAACCCGCTGGCTGGAGGATTGGCGCGCTCTTCCGGTTCTTTCCCGCGAGAAGGCGGGGATCAACTTCAACGAGTTCGGCCGGCCCTACTCTACCCCGCAGACTGTCAAGCTGGCTCAGGACGTGTACACGCCCCTCCTTAGCGAAGGGGCTGCAGCAGTCAGCACGTACTCTTTCAGGAGAGTGGGCCCCTCTTACGCTACGCTGGCTGGCTGGTCCACCCAGCAGCAGTTGTCGCTGGGGGACTGGCAGGATGGGGCCAAACTGCGCCAGGAGGGGAACTCCATGCCCCTTCGCTACGCCAGTACTCGATACACGGCGTCCGTGCGACGCAAGCATTGCCTCCTGAATTCGGTCGCAGGTTTGGTTCGCTTTACGTCGTGGGACCAGGTGACGGCAGAGGCCCTGGCTGTAGTGGAACGTGATGGTGCCCTCCGCATGGACAAGGCTGTGCAGAAGGCACCATACGGTGTGGCAGGGCCAGCTCTCTCAGGAGGAGGTCCAGCCAAGGTTCCAGTTGCCAGCAGTGGTGCCGGTCCCGGCCGCAGCGAGAGCCATGATGCCGCGGCAGATTGGGGGCAAGCGCTTGTCGGCGACCTTGCGTGATGGCGTGCAGCTCTGTGCTGCCTTCCAGTCAGGCCAGTGCCAGCACGAAGGGGATGAGTGCGGATCCGCCATCGGGGCGCGTCTGTGGTGGCACCCATGGGGCAGAGGTCTGCCGAGTCAAGAGATCCGTGGCGGCGCCCGAGTCGCCACCGAGGACGGGGACACGTGCCAAGGCTGCGGCTGTGGTCTTGAAGCCAAGGCGAAGGCAGTACAGATCAAAGCTATGCCAAGGCCTACCGGAGCGCTGACCCTCTGGCTATCTGGCATGCCCACGGCCGAGACCTTGCATGCTTATCCGAGGTGTGACCTCCAGCTGTCTTGGTTGACCGAGTCCCTCACTTCCCGCGGCGGTGCGATCATTCCTGGAGCTTTGCAGATGCAGGTGGCGATTACGGACGCTCGGTCCAGGGACAGGAAGGAGTGCTGGCCAATCATCCGCCAGACTCTTGTGAGCGGAGGCTCCGTCTTGGGACATTGCGTTGCAGGACGGCACCGCGCTGCGACTGGTCAAGCGCTACTTCTCGCCTTGCTCACTGACGTCCCCTTTGAACAGGCTCAGGCCACGGTGGGTCGCCTACGGGAATGTCAAATTTATAAAGTGATGGACCAAGGCACCATAGCGCAATGGGTCCGTCACATCCGCCGTACGGCGGTGGTTGGTGTGCGCTGGCCGACGCCCACAGGGTATATGTTTACTGACCGGTCTCATCCACCTCGATTTAGGCAACGGAGTACCGCTATGTCGCCACCGCCAAGGACAAGAGGCAGGTCAACGCCTCCGGGACTGTACCAAGGTTCAAGACCTCCAAGAAGCTCAAGGCTATCAACGGGCCTTCTGCCGCGACTGCTTGCAGCGTGCGTCGGCAGTGTTCCACCCGAAGTGAAGCGATCACAAGTCAGGGTGTAGTGTCCGGAGGGACCTGACTTATGCGCGTGAACCTTTCCGCGCTTGGCCTTCTTGCCGGGGCCCTCAGAAATTGAGGCTCAGTGGCAAGCACAGAGCTTGTCATTAGGAGGGGTTCGACCCGCCCGGCCGTCGCCACAAAGGAAACAGAGAGTATGTGCCAGCAGCTGCAGAGTGCCTGCAGTCTTTGAGCGTGTTGCGAGTGCAGCCGGTCATGTGCACATGTGTTCTCTCTCTTCTCTGCTCTTCTTCTGCAGTTCCCCCCTCTTCTGCAGGATGTGGCGCAGTTTTCAGCCCGAGGAGAGCACAGATCTTAGCAGGACGAGGCGGAGGTACCGCCGTGTTCTCTATAGCCATGGCTTCTTTCAGTCTAGTGCCGAGGGACGGCGCAGACTTTCGTGCTACCATGGAGTCGCTTCAGTTAAATTTCGAGTTTTCTGATGATGTGTTGGAGGCCTTGGTCAAGCAGAAGATCAAGAACCTCGAGGAATTCCGGTACTTCTTCGAGTCGGAAGCAGAGATAGGTCTCTGGGTTCAAAAGCTTTCCTTGGGAGATCAGCAGGCTCTGCAAACGGCACGCCTTCGCCGCACTTGGGCCGCCGTTAAGGTGTTCTTTCAGCACGCCGACGCGGGCCGGGTCAGGATCTCAGAGTCGGATCTGGATGACCTACTTGATGACAGTTCCTTGCGTGATATGAAGCAACAGTTCTGGCGTCGCTACAAAACCAGGTTCCCACCGGAACTCTACCCATCCGACGCTACGCTCTCGCGAGTGACGCGAGAGCTTAACAAAAGGATGCTTTGTGTGTTCAGCGTCTGGAAAGTGAAGAGTCTCCAATTCCAACTCGTGAGCACCAGCAAGAAGCGCAAGCTTGGGGATAACTTGTATACCGAGGACCAGGAGCAAGATGAGGCGGTTCCTCGGGTATACTTGGATCGGTTGCAGATTCTCCTCACTGCATATGCACTTGCCGGTGTCCAGGCGGTCGCGGGGTCTCCCCCCGCCAACGGTGAGAATACCGTGGGGGCCGATACCACACAGTTCGTGCATGCACCTTTGGATGTGCTCATGGAGTACTTCCATCGTGCCAAGAGGTCAGTCTCGCAGGTGCAAGGGCCCAAGAGGCTTGCGTGGGTCTAGCACAAGGACACCGAAGAGCGGGCGGTTTGGGTCTCGAAGTTCAGGGAGTCGACCAAGACGCTCGGTGCCGTGGTGCGCGAGGTGCTGGACCTGCGCGATGCGCACTGGATACCTGTACAAGCGAGCTCCGCGACTGAGGCGTTGTCTGCCTCTCCGGCGAAGCCTCTCCACAGGGAGGGGCCCCGCAGCCCCCCTCTAAGCCTTCTTCCTTCGCCTTGGGCAAGAGCGTCAACGGGAAGAAGGTGGCGCAGATGATGAAAGATGGCAAACGACTATGCCAGGATTATCAGGAGGGCCGTTGCGCGAAAGGCAAGCAATGCCCCGATCTGCATCGATGCGGCGTGGTTCTCAAGGGCGAGAGAGTCTGCGGATCTGCTAAGCATGGCGCTTCCTCCTGCAAGCAGAAGGTCAAGCCCTGAGGGTGCCCAGGGGAGGCGGAGGCGACCCCCTCCCTGGGGTCAGAGGCTCCTGCATCGCCCACATCGATCCCTGTTATGGCGGATCTCTTTTCGGGACCCAACGCACCGCTGTCCAAGGCTTTTCTCTTTTGCGGCTGGCAGTGCTTGCCTGTGGATCTCAAGCTCGATTCGTCCCATGACTTGGCTAACCCGCTCAGGCAAGCAAGCTTGGCAGCACAGCTCCAGCAGGTCGATTTCATAGCGGCAGCCTTCGACTACTCCCACCAAGAGCTGCGCGCGGGACATCCCGCGCTCCTTTGAGGATGGCAGGCCGGCACCTAGGCCGCTTCGGTCCGCATCATACCCAGAGGGACTGGGTGGGCTTAGCAAGGCTGAGCAGGAGCGATTGGACAAAGATAACCGAGCATGTTCCTTTGTCCTCGATGCTATCCAGCAGGCGGCCGAGCGTCGGGTCAGTGCGCGAGAATCCAGCCAACAGCTTACATTGGCTTCTCCCCCAGGAGGTGCAGTCGTTTCAATCGGGGTTGTGGCAAGACAAACACTATGACACGTGCTGTTGGGGTGGAGCTCGCTACAAGCGCCAGCGGCTTAGGCACAACTTGCAAGAAATCGCAGACTGGCCGGCGATTCAGTGCCACCATATCCATGGCAAAGGCGAGTGGGACCCTCAATCCTTGGATGGCAAGCACTGGTTCCCGTCGCAGGAGGAAGCGGAATACACAGCTCCGCTTGCGTTTGCAATTGCGGTGTCAGCCTCGTGGTGGGCCGCCAGAGTGGGCCGAGCTAAGCTGGCTGTCCCAAGGATGCCGGTCCCGGGCTGTGTTGGGAAGCATGGACTAGCTTCGATCCGCGAGCACTGGGCGATGGCACCTTTGGCTCTCTCCCTTGGGTTGACCCCGCCCTGCGATGAGGAGGCGAATCGAATCCCACAACGCAGGGCAGTGGCAGAGATCCAGCGCGAGGACGGTTCGCTACCACCAGGGGCCATCTACGTTGGTCAAGGCCACCATTCACACCGCCTGCCACGCACCAAATGGGCAGCCCCCATGGTGGCAGGCCACGATTGCCCGTTCGACGAGTTCCTGCCTCGTTACGTGCAGCACATCAAGGACAACTTGGGAGACCAGCTCCCAGAGCTCTTTGGGAAGACCTTGGTGGTGGATGAGATCACCGCCTGGCCGTCGGAAGGCGATGCCCTTGCTGGGCTCGTCTTTGAAGAGCTATCGGACAGGAGCAGGGAAGCCAAGCCATTGCAACGGAGGCCGCCGAACAGCAGGAGCGGCCAGATCGGTCGCCCATTCGGGCGCTCGGGATGGCAGTGGCTCCGTTGGCGGATGCATCCCAAATTTTCTCCTGCTACTTGCGGCAGGAAGATGTCTTTGGGGCAGTGTGCAAGCTTTTTCCGGCAGAATGGTTGGAAGGAGTTACCTTCCCTTTCCTTGAAGACTTGATCAACGCTCCGCCGTTTGATTTGTACACAAGGTGGCTGCGAGACTCGGGAGCTGATTGGACAGGGCCTTGCGGCCCCGCTTTGGCTCCCCAGTCGGCCCGTATCTTCCAGCGTGCTGCGGGACAGCAAGCGGGAGCACTGAGCCAGAGGGCAGCCTTGCCTCCTCTTCTGTCCTTTGGGTTATCAGAGGAGGACCACTTCTGCCATGCTCTTGCGCGCCTTCACGAACCAGTCCCTACGGAGCGCGAGCCTATCTTGGACCCCGACCTCCGGTTCGCCGCCGACTTCACAGCAGCCAATCGAACAAGCTTGCGAGCCCTGCGCCAGAAAGCGATCGGTGCAGTACGTGAGCTCAAGCGCAGATGATCCCCAGTCGATGTCGCCCTGCGGCGCTTCCAGGCCCCCTCCCTGCGCCGTGTGACGGCTGCTCGGGACATTGGGCTGGTGGCGCTACTCGTTGTGCTTTTCTCCTGGCCTGACACGGCTCTGCCATTTGCTCTGGTGGCGGGAATGCCAGCGGTGGGTTTCGCGCCGTGTTATGGCGTCTTCCCACAGCTGCCCACTTCGCACACATCCTTTGAGGAGGTGATGGGTGACTGGCGGGCCCACAATGCCCGTATGCTGTCCAGGATCGGACCGTCCAAGGACGACGTCTTCTTGCTGCAGCAATCCACCAAAGATCATGAGCCCCACCAAGGCCGCGCTGTTGAGTCAACTCAAGGGGCGCCCCTACCGCCTCATCCCACGCTGCGTGATTACCCAGTCCTCTGGTAAACAGCGCATCATCGACAACGCGGACGCGGGTGGCCAATCAGAGACGTCCCACGACTCCAACAAGCTTGTCCTTTGCAGTGCCTTGCGCCCGGGTCAGCACGCTCAGGCCATTGTGGCTCGAGTTCCCCCTGAAGACCTCGAGGAGGCCAAAGAGAGTGACTCTTTGGAATCTGGGGGGGAAGACTGGCCTGATGCTTATCGGCATTGCCCAATGAACGAAGAGGAGTCCCTGGCTTGCTTGGTGGTATGGTGGCACCACGAATGGCAAGCGCCCGCCTATTTGGGCTCCCGTTGGCAGTGACATCTTTCAACAGGTATAGTCGTTTCTCCGAAGCGGCCTCTCGAAGGCTCGCCCTCACAGTGGCTTCCTCCTACTTCGACGACTTCAACCTGCTCGATTGGGCATCGTCCAAAGGCTCGGGCCAGTGGGCCGTTGGGTCGATCAACACCCTGTTGGGGACGCCATTCGCTGCAGAAAAGCGGCAGCCCATGTCGGCACATGGCACGTTCCTGGGGTTAGATCATGACCTATCCGAGGCCCTTTCCCGAGGTTTCGTCACCTTTTCAACGAGAAAGCGCCTATTCGACAAGATGGCTGACCTTATCGAGCAGGCGACCTCTTCCAGCTCCCTGCCAGCGGGTCTCGCCTCCAAGATGTTCGGCCTTATGAACTTCTTGGAGCAAGGGATGTATGGCCGGGTGGGTTGCGGGGGGCTGGCAGCTCTCTCGGAACGCCAAAACTCACGCGAGATTGGGCTCACGGAAGAGATCCGGGCATGCTTTCGCCTGATTTCGGCAATCCTCCGGCTCCGCCCTCAGCGCCAATTCTGGATCGTGCGGCCGCGGACCCAACGCTTCATAGCTGCGAGTGACGCAGCCGCAGAAGCGCCGCTCTGTGGATCAGGCGGATTCCTGATCGTCTGGCAACACCCAAAGGGTCAGCTGCGCGAAGGGTTTGTCGCAGCGTCGCCAGCTAGCCTGTACCCCCTTTGGGGTCCAGGCGAGAAGAAAATTGCGCAACTGGAATTGAGCATGGTCCTCTATGCCCTGGTCTCTCGACCAAGCCAGTTCAGATCCAGGAGGGGGGTATGGTACATCGACAATACCGCGGCTCTCATGAGCCTTATACGTGGTCGATCAGACAATGCGGACCTCTCTCGCCTAGCCCAAATTGATCCATCTTTGCCTTTTCTGTTTCAAGACATGGGTCTACTGGGAATGGGTTCCATCTAAATCGAACTGGAGTGACTCCATTAGCCGCGAGGGCGCGGATGATGTGTGGCATCAGTCGCACTTGTTTTCCACCTTTCGTGCTCATTTCCCTCATGAGCTGTGGGCTCTGCCGCTGGAGGCGGTAGTGGTAGTCCTGGAGTTTCTCTGGTGTAGTGCATTGGGAGAGTGCTTTGGGAACGGTTGGGTCAGATTCGTACAGACAATTGTACTGAATCTCGGCTAACGTTTCTGTGTGGGACCCGGGTGTTTCCCGGTTTTACCAATGCATTACCCTCTGTGTTCCAGAGGCTTGCTAGTGAAACATTGGACTCAGCCATCCGCTCGCGAGAAAGAGGAAAACAGTGGAGCGCGATGGTCACCAGTACGGTCAACAGAAATGTGTTCATGCATCGAGTTTGGCAGGCTTGGGTGTGCATGTATCATTTCTGAGGAACCTTGTACCTGCTTGCAAAATTTGGCTCAAGCTCAGCTAGAGCCAAACCTGGCAAAGCTGGTACTTCTTTTCTCCCACCCGCCCGCCCTGGGTTGCCGACCTCCGGTGGAGTCGTCTGCAACCTAGGTTTGTACCGTTCTCCTCTTTTATGTGTGACATACGTCCGTTACGGGAACGGTTGGGTCAGATTCGTACAGACAATTGTACTGAATCTCGGCTAACGTTTCTGCTGTGTTCCAGAGGCTTGCTAGTGAAACATTGATTGGACTCAGCCATCCGCTCGCGAGAAAGAGGAAAACAGTGGAGCGCGATGGTCACCAGTACGGTCAACAGAAATGTATATATATATATATATATATATATATATAATATAATATGCATGTGTCGAGTATGGCAGGCTTGGGTGCACATGTGTCATTCTATGCGAACCATGTACCTGTGCGGCATTTTGGCTTAAGCTACTGCAGCGCCAAACGGTACCGTGCCTGAACGGATGTGTTTGGTAGTGTACGCAACGGCCCCGCCGAAGCCATCCGGTCGAGCGGGGATGCGTTTCCACAGGTCTTTTTCTGTAGATTAGCGGCCTGGATTCCCGTTTCCGGATGGCTCGAGGCCAGATTGGTTTCTTCTCTGCCTCTGTCACTCCTGCTTGCTCTGCCCTTCTCTTGAAGGCAGACGACGGGGGCGACGACACCGCCGTCGCTCGCCGACGTCTTCTGACAGGGGCGACACTTCAGGACCGGACGTTCCGCCTGTATATGTCTGTGGCCCTGGTAGGTTCCTCTACCTCTGGGTCTCGACGCCGTAGCCGGCTCAGCCTTTTCTGCTGACAGCTGGGCTCTTATCCAAATTTTGCTCTGAAGGTCTCAGATCTTCACCTTCGGTGTCGCGCAGCCGGCTCAGTTTCTGACCGCTGCCACATTCTTTTCGAGTCGGTGCACCTGCTCTCTCAGGTCGCCGCTCCCGGTCCCCTTCTTTGCGGATAGTTGGGACTTCGTTGCCTCAGGACTCCCTGCTCCTAGGCGTCAGGTCTTTCTGTCTGCTGCTGCCTTGGCTGCTCTTGAGAGACTTGTTTCTTTCCGCAGCCGTTTTGCTTACGTCTGTCGTGCCCCCTCTTCGTCCTTTTCTTCCGTCCGCGTTCGATGACGGCTTCCTCCGCTCCTGGACCTGCTGCGGACCGCCGCTCCTGCGAGCCCTCACCTTCGGACTCTTCAACTGAACCACGCCGTGTGCGTTCTGCAGAGGGCTCCGCTGCTGGTCCGGCCCCGGCACGGTCCCCGACCTCCGTTGCCGACGCCGTTTCCGAAACGGACGTCCCGCTCGCTCCGGCGGAGATCGATCAGGACATGCCACAGGCACCGTTTCTGGAACCGGAGACAGGGACTTTGGCCGCCTTTTCGGGCCTCCCGACTTCTGATCTGCTCCGCTTGAGTGCGGGTACTTTGTCTGCCATTTCCGCCAGGCTCGCGCACCGCACCCGCCCTGCCTCCGGTTGTTCCGACCCCGCCTTCCTCCGTGGGAGGTCGTGCGGGTCCGCCGGTGAAGGATTCCGCAGCAAAAGGCATGTCCGCTTCCGCACCCTAAATGAACGCTCCGCCTGCCGCTCCGGAGCGTTCCAATCCGCTGGCGGACGTTGCTGCCGGGAGTGGTGCACCGCCTCCGGCCCCGCAGGTCACCGCGCCTGCTGCTGCTCCCCAACCTACCGTCCCAACGATTTCTGGGAAGCAGGCTGGGCTGCCCAGCTTGACCCACGCAGTCTGCCCCCCAAACACCTGCCGCTGGGTCGAGGTCACGCCGCGTCTGCCCCCGCAGCTCCAGGCGGCACCCTGGAGTTCCCGGGAAGGATGGCAGCTCCGGGTCAACACTCCGACGACCGCCGGAGTTTGGCGCAGGCCAACCTGGTGGCCTTTTCCGGATCTGTTTTGTCTGCGTCCGGACGAGCACCCGGGGTAAATCACTCCGCTTGCTCCTGCAGAGCCTTTGCAGCACCTCGCTCTGCGTGGTTACTGCACTCATATCTGCACCCGCCTGGCCAACAATTCCGAGGGAAATCGTTGCCTGGGTATGTGTCTGCGTCCGATCATGGTAGGCGAAAGGTCTGGCCATGACGGGCACACCTGTTTCCACTGCCTCACGGGCAGGTGAGCCCTCCGTCCGTTTCCGCTCCTGCCCTGCATCCGATGCCGTAAGTGCTCGGCTGCCGGGCTGCGTCTGGTTTCGGCCGTTGGTGTTTTCTTTTTCAAGTACCCTTAATCGTGGGCGTGCCTCCGGCTCCCCTCTTCCTTCTGCGGCTGGATCTTTATGATTCTGCCCGTTCTTTCGTTGTTGCTTGTCTCCCTCGCTCAGGACCGCGACTTCACGCTCTTCGAGACAGGCCCTGGGCGCTCACTCTTGACGTGTCGGCTGCTTGCCTCTGTCAGGTCAACCTGGTTCTCCTCAATCGGCGTCTGCTGCGCCGGGCGGTGCCGATGATCCTGGCCTTTCTGGCCTCGGCATCGGCGCTTCTCCGCTTCCGGACTTTGTGCATACTCCGCCTGGTCTTCGCCCCAGCGGGGTGCCATCAGCCTCGGTCTCGGATTCTCCGCTGAGTCTGCTGGCCACTCCCAGTCCGCGTCCGGTGCTGCATACCTCTCCGCCCTCTGCTTCCACCACTCATTTATCGGGGTCTCATCCCTGCCGGGCTCACTTACTAGTGGCACGACTTGGTCCCTGGTCTCACCGATCCTTTCTGTCCCTGCTGGCTCGACCTTCGGCCTCGCGCTGGTCCTCAGGCGTCTTGTCGCCATCCTACAGAATCGCCATCGCCGGTGCCTGCGCCCATTTCCGGCTCCGCCGTCTAGGCCATCTCCGGCTCCTTCCCCCTCAAGGCGCCATTTGGAACATTTTCTGAGGTGTGTTTCAGCTAAGCCTGCGGTGGAAGCTCCATGTCTTCTGCCCGTGGTGTCTGACTCGGCTGCGCTGGCATCCACCTCTTTTATGCGCCTGCCTGACTCCCCTCTTGGCCACACAGGCCTCTGTCATGAGGAGATGCGGCTTCTGCTGCTCCGCTGGACCGAACTCCTGAGGGAGATGGGCTCGGAGTCCGCCTTGTTTGTGGAGGCGTCCGCTTCCGCCCACATGGACTTTCATGTGCAGCGTGTGGCCGCGAAATTTGCTCCGTCCACTTTGCAGCGATACTTTGATGCCTGGCTCAACTGGGTTTCCTTCTGCCGTTTAGCTGGGGCCAATCACTTGTCTCCGCCGCCGGGTCTGCTCCCGGACTGGTTGCGCAGCCAAGCCAGCAAACAGGGTCTCTCAACTATGCAGCTCAAGGCTCTCTCCTGGTTCTGCAAAACGGCGGGCCTTCCGGCTCTGAAAGCGGCTCTTGTCTCGCCCGTTTGTCAGGCGTTTTCCGTTGCTTCCTCCCCCACGGAACATCGCGAGAGCCTGCCATTGAGCCTGAGTTTTGTCGTCTGGCTCGAATCTCTTGTACTGGATCCGTCCGCCTCCGCAGCTGAAATCCTCAGGGTAGGCTACCTTCTGCTCTGCATCTGGGGCAGCTTACGTTGGGGGGGACGTTCTCTGGCCCAAGCCTCTGCGCTTGTGGGCACGTGTCTCCGTACGAAAACCACTACGAGAGGTATGCCATTCGGCATCCTCTCCTGTGGTCGAATTCTCGGGTCCGGCTCCGCGTCTTGGGCGCTCCGTTTCCTCAGCGCTCTCTCTCAGTGTGTCTGCGGATACTCTGCGTCTGTGCCCGGGTCGCTCGCTGGGCTTCGTGCCCTCGGCGGCCCCGAAGCCCGCCCGGTCATCCACTGGCACCAGCACTCCTCCTCGCCGCCTCCGGCAGCGTTTGGCCTCGTGGCGGCGCATTCTCTGAAATGCACCCTATTGGCCTGGGGTCGCCAACTGGGCTCTGAGTCCGAACTTCGTCGGATCCAAGGTCACCACCGACTTTCTGGCTCCGACAAGTCGGTCTCTCTCTATTCCAGAGACGATATCATCCCGATGCTTCGTTTCCAGCGCAACTGGTTTTTGCGCTGCGCTCCGGGTTCCGCCCTCTACAGCCGGTCGCTCGAGGACTGGATGAGCCGCTCCCGGATTTTCCGGTCACTCTGCCCTCCTGAACAGGCATTCCGGCGGATTTTTCCCTCAGATCGGACTGCTTTCGCGAGCCCCCCGGTGCCGGCCGTCATCCCCTCACCCCTTCCTCGTGCTTTGTCGGACCCTGCTCCCATAAAGGAGGAGGACCTCGTGTCTCTGTCTTCGGAGTCGCTCCCTCTGAAGAGGAATGTCCGGCTCCGGCGGGGGAGGCGCCTCTCCGCCTCCCCCGTCTGCGTCTCTGGAGGCCAGAGGGTACCTGTGGAACTCCCGCAGCAACGTGGCAGTGGCCACTGAGCCTCGGACCATTCGCTCTAAGTTGTACTCTTTCGAATCTGGCGAGGATGTCTGGCTCCGCCCAATCTGCGGTGCCCGTACCTCATCAACTGGCAGTGGCACAAGACAGCTTCCTCTCGGACTTTCCTAAGGGTGCCACTCTATGCCTCCGCACGGGCTGCCTTCATCGTCTGAAGCTGCTGTGACGCGC